CGTGTCTCTTCTTCAGCTACTAAATACAACGATGAATTTCTAAACCATTCGCATATACGACAAAAGCTAAGTAGAGTACGAATATCAGGAAAAGACATTGGAAGGTCAACAGTAATCCATTGTTCTATTGTATAGCCTTCTGCAATAAAAATGTTTCTTGTTATTTCTTCTGGCCAGCAGGAAAATGATACGTCCGATTCCAGATGTGATGTATCAATTCTTTCACCTGTAGCCATAAATTGATTAATTCGTTTTATGATTGAAAGAAATGGAACTTGTTTTGGATGAGGCCAATGAGAACTGATTAATAGTCCATTCGGTTTCAATTGCTGAAAGAAATCTCGTAGCATTTGACCGTGATTTGATGCATAAGGAAGTACAAGAGAGGTTGTAATGATATCATAAACATTTTTATTCGATGAATCATCGTTTATGAAAAAGTTTACAGTCAAATGTTGACTTTTCAATTTACGTAAACGTTCTTCTGCTAAAGATAGCATTCGCCGAGAAGAATCAGTTGCTTGTAATTTAACATTGTAGAGATGATTTGTTACAAGCTGTTGCAAAATAGTCAGAATTGGCTCGCCAGAACCTAGTAATAGAATGATCAAAGAAGTTTATAAGATGTTTCTCACTAATCAAAAACATAAAAATTATATGTACCTGTTCCATAATCCAAAAGTTGGTATTCATCTCTTGTATCGTTCGACTGAATTTTCTTGACAGCATAATGTGCCATGGTATCATAAAGTAGTTGAAAACGTGGTACGAATACATCTTGATACGATTGGGCTAATAGAGACCACTCATTAGAGGAATCATCATCTGATTCGATAGTTGCCATCTTAATATCTGCAGTAAGAAATCAAAAAAAAAAGCATCGATATAAATTGATGTTCACGTCACACGCAGTTGAAACGAGATGCAAAATAAGCAACAAGATATATGAGAAAAGAAGAAAAGAACATAAAGAAATATTTGCTTTTGTTTGCTTCTGTTTACTGGTTGGATATGAATATAAGCAATAGAGTTGTTATAGTACATATAGTCCTTTGGTGTCAAATTCAGGTTGAAATTTTGATTTTTTTTTCAGCTTTTGTACGCAACAAAAGATATTTTGTTGTATATTAAGGCTATAGTCATATAGAGGTCATGACACGCTATAATTAACTATTAACAAATAGAAGTCATGACTCATTTTATGCATTCATGACACTTGTCTTATCTTGTTTGAAAATTTATTTATGCCTGGTAACTATCATTGGCCAATAGCGATTTTATTTATGTAGTTATAAATGGAATGGAGATTGATCTACAAACTGAATGTTTAATAACGATGATATTGAGCATGACGACTATCGAGTGAGATAGTCAGAAAAGATAAGTGTACTTACTTATAACTATAGTGACAGCTTATTAACGATGATCTTTCATCAAATGAACTGATATATCATATTAAGAATGCAAAGAATTACGGAGAGCTCGAGAAAAAAGATGTTAACATCAATACAGAAGAAGACAATAACATCGAATAACTTTCATATATCGAGAACAGCACTTCTGATCTTGATGATTATAATGCTTGATAAACATTAAAAATGTTATGTATCTGCATGAATTCGCTGTCATCTATGCCAAATATTTGGATCTGAACAGCTTATGTCATACATTTTTTTTCTCTCAACTTTCTCATGAATTCAGTTGGATAATTTGTTAGTAACATTATATCATTATACAGTTCATAGTGTCCTCTAACAAGTATTAAAGTATGTTGGTTAAATAATGAAAATTCGTTTAAGGAGACCAAAGCACTATGGCCTATAGGCAAAAAGAGAGACGACAGCTGAATCCGAGATAGATTGTTTCTGCTCAAAATGTTTTTTAACATCATTGTAGAACTTTATGTAACTCATATATAGTTGATTGATTTACTTATCTTCATAAATTATGCTAGTCCTATGCTGATCTACAATGCTCTTGGTCTACGACTAAAAAACCTTCACTAACAAATCCAATGAAAGATCAATCATATTGATCGAAAACAAAAATTGATCTACATTTTTTATTTCATCCTGGACAACTGTTTTAAAAAAAAAAGAATTTCGTTCTCAGAATATTTAAATTGATATTTTTTTTCGCAAAAATTCCAGCTTAAAACATTGATTTCACAAGCAAATAATCTTTTCTGAGACGGTGGTTTTTTATTTTCAACACAAATATCTTTGAGCTTTGTATTAGTTCTTCAAATGGATGCCATTCAGATCTATTATTAATGAATAATAGAAGTCAACAAAAAGTCTCCCCTTTGCATCGTGCAAAAATAGTTTTGAAGTATAAAGAACGTCTGTTTTGTTTTCGAGAAAATCAGGTGCTTTTGAAAACATGTTAGTTCTTTATTCTTCGAAAGAGAGAGTACCCACCCATACTCTCATATTACACAACATTGGAAATGTGAATGGAATAACCTTGGCAATAGCTTGATAGAGTTAGCAATTGATGCACAGAATGTGCTGCAGTTCTTATCAAGTAATCATACAGCTGATAAAAAAATTCTTTGTCTTCTTATCGTATCTCTCATGCATTTTCTTCTCCATCTTACTACTTGTCGTCTTTCGTTGTGAAAGTACGGACAAAGATCGGTGCAGCTTATATGGTTATCCAAATAACAATTCACACTCAAAATGCAGTCTGAAGTCGACGAATACGTCGCTGTATAGATTCGAAACATCCATACCAACGTGATTAGAATCGTTCATAATTGCAGTTCCGCGAAAGATTTTAATGAAGTAAATTTCTAAATTTTGGATTCATCGGAGTAATATTCATATTAGAGTACATTTTTTACTCGTAGATATGTAGTCCTCAACACTTTCTAGTCATAAGAGTCCAAAATCGATATCACATATATCAATGATGAGCCTTATGTTCACTAGTGTTTATCAAAACAAATAATTTTTCTATGAGATTCATCTCTAGGTGCAATTACTGTACTCGCAATCGTTCTGCTCTTGTTTGTCCTTAACTGTTTCAATATCAGATGAGAAAACGTTCCATTTGGACCAGTAATTCTCCAATCCATCACATCCTTGGCAGGCATCCATAAACCGTTGATAGATTCTTTGACTTTGTTCTGGTGTCATAAAAGACTTCCAATCGTTGATTTCTCCCTTGCGTATAGTTTTTAAATCTGACTCAGCCATAAATATCTGCTGTCGTCGAGCAGCGGCTGCTGTGTCTTTAATACTTTCGATAAATTTTCCTTCGAACTTTCGTCGTTCATCATCAAATTTGCCTTTCATGTATTCGAATGATGCATATTTCATAACTTTTTCCAATAATTGATCGTTCAATACAACATTAATAAAGTTGGCGATCTAAATGAATGAAATATTTCAAAACCAAAATACAATTGTAACTGATATCTCTAACTGACTATTCGTAGTTCGCCATACTATTTCAAATACCTTGAAAGGGATTACAAACTACGAATGAGTAATCTCTAATGGAGTGTGGGTCTGAGATGTGAGTTAGGAGAAAAAAAACACCCATATCCGCATGCACATACTCACACCCACTCAGGGTTGCATGAAAAATGGCGATCACCACAATTAACAATTTTTATTTGAATGTCGTTGTGACCGACGTGAGTGATTGAACAGAGAGATTAGATTATCAATAAATATGATTCTATCTGCTCAAATATTTTATAATCAGATGTTTAGATGATAACGGAAAAAGGAATAGTTCAAAGAAAAAAATCATTACAGCTCAGATTTGAGATATACCTATTTTACTTAACATGACTTTCCTTTGCACAAACATTCTACTCTCTCATCATGATTGTGTCAATTTTCAAAAAACTAACCTTCTCTATCACAGATTGAGATTCAGTTTGCATTTCTTCGTAGGAAACAAGTAGAACATTATCATAATGACGTCGTTGCCATGCCGATCGAAGTGCTTCAAAATAATCACCAAAAGGTAGATAGCCTTCGATGAAACATTCAAAAAAACGATCAAATTCAAGTTTTGGTACATCAGGCCACATATTGTAGAATATATAGTAGGAAATACAAACATCTTTTGGATTTCTTATAACACATATGTATTTGGCTAGTGAATTGTATGGTACTCGATGCATTGGTAAATGAGTTTTGATTGCACCTGGTCGTCGCATTGTTTCAATACATTTTTTACCATCGATTTCCAAGTGTGGATTTCGTTCGAAAAAATCAATCGTACTCACATTGAAGGGTTGTCCATTGGTTAGAAGATTGTAGACAATATTTTGCATCCAAGTCGTTCCACTTCTTGGATAAGTCACAATAAACAAATCATCTGGTCTGGTCTGATACGAGAGACTAAAACGAAGGTTACGCAAACCCCAATCTGATACCCAGCATATGCCATCGACGATTTCGAATAGTTCATTTTGTTCGCTTTCATTTGAGTCTAAAGAAAATAAGAAAGTTTATTGATTAATGGAGTTGACTCTTAATGTAAATATTAAAATGTTCAATTAACCTGATGTTTGTTCTGATTCCATTTGTTACTAAAAAATTAAATATATTTCAATCAGTGAAATGTCTTTGTGATCTATGAAAAGATCTCACAATAAAATGGAGTACAAATATTTAAACGACATCATTTATATACCTTATCCGACACACATGAAGAAAAAATTAAGGACTAGTGATGCAACACATGCGTGGGAAGCGCTAATCAAGAGAACAAAACACATTTCAAGATTCCTTTTAGATCTTTTTTGTTTTGCTGGCCTAAGTCTATAATAAGTTTCAAAGAAGAAATTACCACGAACTTCCTACTTTCTCATGACTTTTGGAACTCTATCGCGATACTCGACTCATGGATGTAATCAATATAATTTCGAATTTGATACAGCTACGATATCCTTCATAGCTCGCCTTCACAATTATAAAAAGAAACAAAGTTTCATCATAAACTATTTTTCGATGACAAATGACGGATTCCTGATTGGAAGTTCTGTCTATTCAATGAAAGAAGGAATCAAAAACGCTTTTATTTATTAAAGCAAAATAAGAACAAAAAAAAAACAACTTGCTCATTTTTAAAACTAGAAAATTTTCCAGTGAAAAAACCATATTTATCAAAAGAATCCGCATGCTCTTCTAATGTCGTGCGCACGCTTTCGTCTCAGTAGGTAAAATCAAGATAATGGAATGTTGACTTTAACATTGCAGCAGCTTTTTTTCTTTCAGTCGAGAACTATTCAAGGTGACTGACTCATAGCCATGTTGAGAAAAGCATTGCCTCGACAAAATCCTAAATCTAGTAGAATTCAGACAATTCTAGAAAATTGTATTCAAGCAATATATGATCTTTCATCAAAAACGTGCATATGTTGATGTTCACAAGTTATAAGATCTATTACCATGAGAAACAAGTTGTACAATATGGAAACCTGAGGGCGCCAGTTACACTATTCGAGTTCTTTTTTTCTATCTCTGTGAGACAAAGTGACTTGTCTCATCTACAAATTTTTTTTTTGATCTATGAACAATAAAGACTCCGTCAACGTATTCGTATTCCATGGCTATTTGAACAAATATTTAATCTAAAAATGACGATTGCGTCGAGAATAGATCTTTAGTGAATAGAAATTTCAGACCGATCGAAAGATATTTGAGAATGGAGTGTATTGATTTTTATCATTTGTGTTCATCTAAGAAAATAGCGATCAGTAATGGTCAAATTTGTGACATAATATTTTTTCCATATTACACGATTTCTCAGCTTGGACAAAGTGTGATATGATGCATTACTCATATCACTATTTTTCATATTTGCCTTCCGACGCTACCGGCAGCCATCACGTTGATTAATTCATCCAGTGTGCCGTAGAATCAATAATGAAAGTGATGCCAACAAGTGAAGGCTATTTTCGACAAGAAAAATTTTCGTCCAACGATAATTGATTTCGCGTTCCAACAGCCTCTAGTGAAGATAACTCTAAATTGTTCTCAAGTTTCCTTGAAAGTCTTGTGCTTTGCTAATCTTCTTTGACAAAATTCTCCGAATACATCAGATTCAACTCAACCAACTGTATCATAGTATCGGACAGACATACAGTTGATAGTTTCTTTTTTTTTTCTTCTTGTGGAATGTATGCATGCATATTGTTATTCAAAAACAATGCTTAATGAGATATTTATCTTGTTTATTATTTAGAATTATAGAAAAAAGCAATCAGTGTGCTGAAGGTTGATTAAATTGCCGGTTAATCTGTTGCAATGTGGTTACTTTATCGATGGCCTGTTCAAATTCTCCATTCTGTATGTATGTTTTAAGTGTAGCCAGATGAGTAGTGAACTGTTGATGATGAACTGAATCAGAAATTTCAGCATTTAAACCATTCAATGTCTCCTGGCCATCCTGAAGTTCTGTAGTCATATCGATCAATGTTGTTACCGTCACTGAAATGTTAAATAATTAAATGAAAATGTATGACAGTTCGTTTCGTAGTGTTATGTAATACACCAATATATACTTTTTTGAAATGCATACAAAGTAAATATATACCCCCATTCCTGCACCATCCACTTACAATTACCCATTATGCTAAAATCTATTGGCTGATGAATAATTATGTCATGCGGTGAAATCCTTACTCATTACCTCTAAAATGTCAAAATCATATCAAATGAAAAGTAATGACAAAGATAAAATGATAATAACATACTTCTATTCAATTTGAATCATTTAAGTTTTATATACGAGTGTGTAGCTTGTGATATGAAAATAGTGTGTGACTCAAGAAATTTCATCAGTCTATTGACATATGAATGGCATTGATATCATTACATAATTAGCTGTTTGAAAAATTGTATACATTATGTATAAAAAATTTGAAGAAGTCTATCTCAAGAAAGTTAACTTAGATTTACACCACATTCTAAACGTTTTCATACTACTTATCAGAATTAGATTGCTGCAACATTCGACAGATGTTTAAAATATACTAATTGTACTCGAAATTGATATTATCTAATGGATAATCAAAAGTTCCTTTGAGATATGAGTTAGTGTCTTTTTTGTCGATCTAGCATTTTTTTTACACTTCAATGAAATCAATGAGTAAAGTGCAATATCTCAAGAAGTATTCATTCTACGTCATTGAATTGGAAACTAATTTTGTCAGAATGATACATATATCAGCATTATATTGAATCATTGCATGATTAGACATTCGTATTTGCATGCTTGAATGTTTTACTTGATGATTCAACTAAAATTCGATAAGAACAGAAAGAGAAATTTGCAGAATCGGAGTACTGCTTATAAATTACTTTGTGAGAGCTGAAATGATGACACAATTTTTTTTCAAAATTGCCAATAAACTCAATGTTAGTCATTTGCTGCAATATGGGTTATCGGTTACCTATGCAAATTGTGCGATTATTAGTTTGCAGGATAATCAATCGTCATACTAATGAAGAAAGCATTTCTTTGACTTGATAACATCAATAGTAATGCTTTCAAGTAGAGGAAATTGTTGAACACTCATGCTACTTGCCATATTTCGAAATAGACTATGATTCTATTATAATAATCTACTTTAGAATAGATTTATTTCATGTAGACAATCGACAAATAAGATGATAACATGAAGATGATATTGGTTTACATTGTGATTATTTATATTTGGTTCAAAGTCGACTTAAAAGAATGATGTGAAATTTGAGAAACAGTATAAAAATATTAGAATAAACTTGAACGAAGACAATGGAAATCAATTACAGGCATTTAGTTTTTATTTTATTGAAAAAGTGATTTGAAATTATGTAAATTAAAGTTCGATTGAAATGACGTCCTTAAAAACACTATTGAATCCAAACCGATGTTTCTCATCATCTAGCTTTTACTTCATAGACATCAATCGATTTTTATTTACGGTTGCCCTTCTGTTGCACAGCTTCGCGGGCCTCTATTGACAATGACGAATCACGGAATAAACGTTGATTAGTTTGTTGCAACGCATTTATATTATCAATAATTGTGGAGCAATCTTCTTTCCGAATGTTAGTTTCTAGTGAGGTCAGATCGGCACGGAAGTGTTGTTGCAATGTATAATGCTGTTGAGAGCTATTTATCGTTTGATTTTGTTTACCAGAAGGAGTCGAACTTGCCGATGCCATTTTGTACAGTTTGATAGGTACTGTTTTTTTCGTATGAACACCAAATTCAATTGTATACAACGAGTAATTGTGTGTATTTATATCTACTCACAATGGATGTAATGAATCTTGGAAAAAACATATATTGGAGGAAGAAACTTTACGTAACTATTGAAACACGTCATTTTTTCCCATGATGACTTCGATGTATACTTTCGATGAAAGAATTTATCGCTGTATACGTGTAGTATTATTAACTCATGAGGTGTTTCAATTGATTCTGCATAATTATTACTTAAAGGTTTCATACACTTTACTTCCACATTGCATAAATTTACTTGTATTCTCAAATACGTCATTTTGTTTTCATTTCGATAAAAACCGCCTTCATTTGAGTCATATAGTTCGATTCAAAGGTATATAATTCAGAATGAAAATATAGTCAGCTTCTTCAAGACAACGTAGAGAGAAAGATTTGATAAAACTCTAGTTCGAATAAGTACTTGTCGAATTAGTTTAGAAGAAAGAAGACTTCAATTCTCAAAACAGAATAGATTCATCAAACTAACTGATCTATTTTAACAGTTCGACTCTTTTGAAAAGAACTCGATGGTTAATATTAGTTCAGTTCTTTGTTCGCCAATTGTCTACAGATTTAGACTTAAACGTCTTTATATTTATGAATCATACTCTCATCTTTAATATGATTGATATATAATTCAAAATTATGCGAAGATATATACATGTGTCAAACCAGAACACTGAGTTTAATTGTTGAATATCTGACTTTTCAAAACCTGAAATTTAAATATTCAACTAATGTGTTATTGAGTGCAGATATACACAGGGTCACCCTCTCGCTGGCGATGCCATGAAAAGACACAGAGAATATCGTGAAATAGTTGAATATCAGATGAGCTCTTCAATAATTTAATTCAATTTTTGGATTTGACATTAACGGTCGTAAAGGATTCTCGGTGTTATCACTTGCAGGAAAAATATTAAAATTCTGGTCAGAGTTACTCTAACAAAATTTTATTATGATCCGATTGGTTGATGTCTTTAGCTAAGCTTGCGAGATCCATAAAGATAGTTTCTTTGGATCAATTCGATTCGATCGGATTAGATGGCTCCAATCGATGTTGAATTGACGATGAGACAAATTTGATGAAATTCATTGAATTTTAACTATTTATGATAGACCCCTGGTTTTCCAGAAATTTTTCTCTCTTGTCGTCTAATGGCCTCACTTGCGAAACTGTTAGTGACTAATTTTTTAATGATGACATTCAAATGAATATTATCAATTCTAAAACAACAACTTAAGGTACCAAAATAGAGCAGATGAAAGAGAAATGTATGATTCATCGGTGAAAGAATAATAGTGCGACATTTATTTAGTTCCTTAACTTGGAAGAATCATCGTAATACCAATTTCGTTTTATCGAAAAATAACTGAATAAGAAAAAAAAAGCAAGCTGGTATATTTTTCTTGCATTTCTTGATCAAACATATATCGAAAATTATGCAAGAACATTGTACATAAGTGTTAGTGATGAAAGTATATGAGAAATGTAAGCGTGCTGGTAAATGTTTTAGGATTTATCTTACAAGATAAATTGCAACATCCTTAAATTTTTGTACCCAGCATCAGAGACCAGCAATGAATTTCAACAATAAAGTGATGAGAAAGCTGGAATCATCACCAATACGAAAATCAATTTCGATTCGAATTTTTTTAAATTTTTTTTTTAATGAAAAATGTTTAATCATCATTTTTCGAAGAGAAAGAGCAAATACTTGTTAAACACATACATAGTTCAAAAATATCAGTAGAAATAGTGTCCGACTCAAGAATAGTGTTGCAAGTTGTCAATATTTCGTTGCAGTTCAAGTACACATTGAAAATTTTTTTCCGTTCTGGCTGCTTCTGTCTGTTCCAATGGTGCAATATGGGAGTATATTTTCAAAGCTCGTTCAAAATAATGTTGTGCTTCGAATAATTCTCCTAAATTCATTTGTACAAGACCTAGAGTATTTAATAATTCAGCTGATTGAGATGGATTTGATGGATGAACACGTTCGAAGAGTATCAAAGCACGTGTACCCAACTTTAATGCTTGAGCATCATCACCAAGATCATGATGAATATTTGTTAATAAAGCTAAACTTTTAGCTACAACAGTATCATTGTCAGATCTACAAGATTCACGCAATGTCCAAGCTCGTTGTGCATAATCAAGAGCTTCATTTAACTCTTTTTGAGCCCGATGAGCATTTGAAATACTAGTAAGACTAGTAGCAATCGAATTTGAATCACGTGGATGAGCAGATTCGTACAAGGACAACGCACGACTATGGCACTTTAGAGCCGAATCGTATTCACCACGGTTATGATAAACTGTGCCGAGTCGTGAAAGAGTATCGGCGATATCCTCGCCTGCCTAATAAATAAAAAAAAACCGATGTAATACTATTCTAATTTATCTAACATCGTTTTCTAATTCTTGCTAGTCAAAGACTTCATTAGTTAGGGTTTATTATTTTACCTCTTCTTGCATTTTAAGAGCCTGTCTATAACATTCAACTGCAATATCGTAGTCTTGTTTTTCATCGGCAGATAACTGACCAATTAATTTAAGAATTCGAACTGACATTGGTCGAATGCGTCGATAAGCTACAATTGCTTGATCAATATCTCCACGCTTCAAATATTTCTTTGCTTCTAATTCATCTTCAGATATTTGAGAATCGTTGGTTTGTATGGGCTCATTTCTAAATTATAAACTATCTCAAATGACTTTCAGTTTTCTTTATACATCATGTTAATACAATGTTTTACGAAGTATTATTAATACCTGACTTCTGTTTTATTTGCTGGCGGTGGGGTTGGTGGTTTTGGTGGGGCAGATAACTCATCGAGTAACATTTTGATAGTCTTTTCTTTATTTTTTTCTTTGTACTCTAATGCTATTTTCTTTCCTTCATCCGGCGTAGTTTTCATTTTGATAATTGACATCGTGCCTCGATTGACGCATACAACTCGAAAACTTGTTACAACATCGAAAACTATTATTGTTGAACCGTTTTCCATCGCAACTTCGGCAAATCGAGCTGATGCATCAAAATCAATTTTAAATAAAACAGATAAAAGATCAGATCGATATCCTGGTGATGCAGCCGATTGCAATTCAATATTTCTTGATTTCGTACACATAAAAAATCCGTTGACACATACGAGTTGACCCGTATGTGTTTCGAACATATCGACTAGTTCATTCGGTAGTTTCATGCCTCGATAGACTTGTCCATGGCTAGTACGTTTCGATTGTTGTTGTAAGATACGAATCGTATCACCAATAAGAAATTGATAAGGTGAGAGTTGTTTAAGAGTAGGTGACATAAGTGCATATCGTAGAAGACGTGATGGAAACGGTGAACAAAAACACCAACGAAATGCATCATTTGCTCGATAAGATTTATCGAATTCATCAACTAATTTCAGTCGTTTTGGATTGCCTCGATAATAGTTTCGAGCTTGTTCTACCAAATCATTTTTACTGTTCGGCATCGATTTTTGACTTGTTATCTAACGAAACAAAAAAGAAAGGAAATTATTAAAATGAAAATAAAATTTACAAATGAAAATGACTTACTACTTCTTTCCATAATTGCCACCATATAAAGAGTTTATCTGTTTCAAATGTAAATCTTTCTAGTTGAATATGTTCAAATGTATCTAATGTGATTTTAAGTGCTCGAAGAAGTTCTTCTTGCTGAATAAAAATATCGATTAACTTCGGAAAATCTCCTCGAACATTGTTCGTATCAGGATCAAGCACAAAGATAGCTTCTACGGCTATGCATTGATGTATTGTTGCTAATAGTTCATTATTACTCGATGATGAAATAAAGAAAATCTTCTCATGAGAAGATTTTATGTAATCCAAACAAGTCGATATATCCGTAAAAGTTCGTACACAATCATTAATTGCACGAAGAGTACCGATAAAAGTTCCAGTCGAATCTCGTCGAAGATCGAGCCATACAAAAGTGACACATTCACGATTGATATTTCGATCGATTATTTGAGTGGCGCATGCACTAGTTGCCGTTGATTCTTTCTGCAACGGAGTTACAGATTTTGATTGCTGCATTCGTGCAACATTTGAATTACTCACCGAACTCATATTTTGGTTCTAATCGACTACAAAAAAAGTTTTCATATTTAATTAATTATTCTTTATTTGTACATTCAATGTCTATCGCAAGCTTGTTTGATTAGATTTCTCTGAGAAGAATTATAAATATTCTGGTATTTTCTTTTACAGAGTACATCGCTTTTTTCTTAAGTTAAATAGTTCTGTATACTTACTCAAATCGATGAAAATATGATCTCAATTCTACAACGGAAGCGTTGACATGTGATGGCCAATTGATCTTGTAGATCAGAACGAGAGAAAAATAAACGTCATTAAATGCTGAGAACGAGCATGGTGCAAAAAAACAACGAAATGTTGATTTTGTTGACAGGTATTTTTGTATAGTTAAAAGCATACATTTGTTTTCATAGTACTTTAAATTCAGTTCTTTTTTCAACCAATTTATATGTTGAAAGGTGTTGGAGGAGGCTGTTTCATCTATTCGTATTGTTAAGATAAAGAGCGATAATTTATTTATACTTTTGTAGTTCTATCTATATCAACTTACTGAACTATGATATTCCATGATCTCAACAAAAATTCCGCTTATATCCATAGTTTATTTTAGCATTTCGATAGCAACAGCCATGATGTGACTTGGTTGATAGTTTTATCACTTCTTCTTGTAGTACGATAAGTTGCCGACGGGAGTGATAGTTTAGGAAGAGTAGGCTTGTATATAGTAGTCCATGAAGATGTGTGAGTAAGGATGATCGTGTTCTCTTTATTGTCACCGTCAATCCCGTTGTCGACTAAAAGAACTCGAAGGCTGTTGCATCACATTTGAGAGCAAACATCCATTCTCAATAGCCTATCACAAATCGGTCAGTTTTCTTTTGTTCAAGTCCAAGTTGAAAGAATTCGATAGATATAAAACGCATATTTGTACATGTAATGATCAAGTGATTTTAACAATGAGCTTTTATCAAATTTTGAAATGATGTCTCGTAACTCACAAATTCACTTCAATTTTTCGTAATTTTTAGTTTATTTCCTTTTTCGAATTGCCGAAGATAGTCAATAATATGCAAAAATCATGAATATTTAAAATAACTTATACGTTTGCACATGATATATCATGACTTGAAATTGATATTCGGTAGCTGTTCATTTAAACATATTCAAACGTATGTCTTCTTTCTCTATATAAACCTGCTATAATAAATAAATAACCTACGCATGTTAATTAACTCGTGCTTGATATTAAATAATCATACAAACATAAATTAATTAATTTATAACAACAAAATCAACAAGTATATAAATTCCCTTTGAAGTATACATATGTTATGTTGTTAAATTCTCTTTATATGAAAATTGTATTTCTCTTGCGTATGAATCGATTATCTGTTTTCCAAAGAATGCTTTTTATGTGAATTTATGTGCTTCTTGATAATGTTTCACTAAATTGTTGTTATTATAATGCAATCACTTGTCGGTACAAAGAATTGTAAAAGTATGATTGGAACTAGGTTTCGCTAAAATAGCGATAGATTACCTTCGCTTTACTTAAATGTCATAATGTTCATTTACTCACGTCAATACAGATTTCTAAAATAGTTTTCGATTATCTATAATAACTCAATTAAATCTTTGTTTTTCGCTCAGTATTCCAACATAAAAGAAAAGAAAGAATAAGGCAAAATTATATAGAAAAGAAAAACAGAACATAAACGAAACTCGTCAGTCATACTGTTAATACTCATATCAATATCCTGATTTGATTTTCAACAGTTCAAGATATACACTCCACATATTGATACATGACAAATCTAAGATGAGATATAAGATAAAAATGAGTATGAATGATGGATATCATCTATTATTTGACTTGAGCCACAATTTTAACGATTCTTTTTTAATGACAAAATGTCAATGAATGGAGATCAAGATAAACACTTATACATCTGAGTTTGTATCTTTCTTTTTTATAATTTTCAAAGTAAGATGATCAATTTTGTGAATTCTAAAGTCTCTCAAACAGTTTTGTGATGCCTTATATTCTTAATCTTGTCATATTAATATCATACTTGAGAAAGCGTCATTATAAGAAAAACAGTTTAAGTTCGTCTGTTTTTTATTTGATAAAAAAAAAGAACATTCATGTTCGTATGAAAGTTTCAATGAAACAAAATGATTATAATATCTTCTTACATCGAGCTGGTGGATTGGGACCCTATAATACAGATTGAAAACAAGAATATCTATTTTAAAATAAAAAATAATTTATTAATTTTACCTTGTACGTATCACAAATAAGAGAAATAAGATCTGTTTCTGCTAAATCTTGAATCTCTTTCGTATGATTCCCATTGAGTGTTACCCATGGTACAAAACCTTCTGTTGGTTTAGTACGTTCAGTTTCAACAGCATATGTATGTTGTAATTGATTGCCCATTCGACTATTTGTACAAGTTGCAACTTTTTCAAAATCAATACTTGTATTTTTTGCACATTGTCTTGCTACTTTTTCAACATCATCTACTATGGAATCCATGCAATAAATGAAAGGCTAAAAATAGAATATTCTCAATTTTTACATTCAATTCGTTTGTTCTTCTGTCTTTACTATATGTTGTTGAGTTTCTGGATACAATGCAATGACACATGTCTGAAAAATTAATATGAAAATTTTTTATATCTAAATCGATATACAATTAAATTTACATGAATAAGATTTGCATAACATTCATCAGGACCATGTTGACAATAGAATTGATAAAGTTTTGTTTCAGGTCGATAAACTTCATGAGCATTTCCATAAGGAATAAAAGTTAAATTAACTATATCTGCTACAGCTTGATATGCAAACCATACTTGTGTAATAATAAATTGACGACAGTCAGCACAAAGTGCTTCATAATAAATCGTAAAATTTACACGATCATTATCCGTAGCCTTCCATACAAATGACGCACATTGTTTAGTTACCTGACAGATAAACAAAAAGATGAATGTAAAAAAAAAAACAAGAAAGCAGCGTTAGTACAAACTTCGCAAGCTGCAGCAATCTCTTTAGTTTTACACCAATCAGCCGATGAAGTAGGACACTTAATAGGAAATGCAATTGTGTTCAAGATGAAAGCACTGTAAATAGTAACAATAAGAAAACAAACGGTATTCATGATGAGAAAGATCAATAGAAATGTTTTATGTGCATATAGATAAGAATTATATTGTAGATGAGAGAAGTAAGCATGACAATAAAACAAACTATAACTTATCTTTTGCTGATAATATTTATCTTTACCAAAATAATTTGGATGCATCATTATGTTTGTTTTTTTTGAAAACTGAAAAAAAAAATCTTGTCACGAATACTCTCGTTTCTTTTTATAATCCAAATTTGGACTCTGATTGATGTCACAATATACTAGCTTTCATAAAGAAAGACGCTTTGTTTACTGTGATCAGAAGCAACATATTGCTAAATATAAGTTTGTACTTTCATTCTTAAAGATTTATGTTTGTTGATAAGTGTACATTTCTCGACAATAAAATTCTGAATTTCTCAATAATATTCATTGAATGATGTCATCGATTCAAGTAGATCACTATAACAAACGCCAGCATTGGTGAGACTATTTACTAATGTAACATAATTTGGCGCTGAACTATCTGTGTATAAATTAGTGGTTGAAGTAATCGATACCACTAAGACATTATCAGTATGAAGACGAATGCCATTTACTGAACTCTATGTTTCGATAATATGTGACCGTACTATGACTAAGTGTACAACTAGATCTATCATAGATATGCCTAAGAAAGGGATGCACATCCGAGACGTGATGCATCGGGCGAAATATGCACATTTGTTCCAGATAAAGATTAAGATCCTAAGCAAAATGAAATAGCAAAAGAGATGATTCATATTGACAAGTCTAACATTTAAAAACATGAGAAAATTGAACTACTGAATGAAATATTTTGAAAAGAATGACTAGTAGATGTCAACGAAATGAAATTTTCAATAGATAATAAAGAATTAGGTTCTGCATCAGTAAGAAAAATACTCGAATTAAAAATAAAATAAGTTGCTAAGGTGGTTTCTTCGAATATTTCACAAACTGACTGGTCTCCAATAGTGACACTATCTGGATTAAACTTGAATGATCTTTCCTACTATTCAAGTAACATTCAATTTTCTATTGAGATTAATTTAACAATTTCTTTTCGATTATTACATGAATAATCCTATATGATATAATTTTTAAAAGAATAAAAATGTCTTTTTTTTTTATTTGCCAAAGATTAGTTTAGCCGATATTTGAACTGATAGAAGATGTATAACGATTACTGATAAAATCAAGAGTATTTCAAGTAGTATTCTGTCAATTTTCTAATAATTTAAATTACTAAAAAATTTGTACTCAGAGCCTCTCTGCTAAATGTGAATTAGAACAAAAACTTTTTTCATTCATATAAATGGTTTTTGTTCTTGAACATGTTAATAGAGTATTGTAATTGATAATAAATACGCATAATTCATTCGAATTAGTCTAGCAGAAAAAACTCTTTAGAATGAAATTCTTTAAAAAATTGAATATTCAAGATGATGATAATGTTAAATCAAGGATGTATATGAATTTGCGTACTTTAAAATATGCTTTTATTAATCGAATGGCCTTAAAAAAGTATTATGCTTTATAATAGATCGCTGCTTACTTTTGGAAATAACGCGGATGAGAATACAACCATATTTAATATACATGAAAAAAAACGGATATTAAATAGGATGTCAATAATAATGTCACTCTCTCATTATTATCTTTACTTGAGGGTGTAGGTGTAAATGATAATACTAACACCTACAACTACACCCACACCCACACCATTAATCTTTATATTCTGTTGATTCTGAAAGCATTTATGAAAACCCACGGAAGTTTTTGTTCTCTCGTATTTTATTATTTTGCTAGTTTAAATAGGAGAAAAAAGAAAAAAGTTTTAACAAGCTTGACACAATTGATATTTTTGATGGTATAGATAATATTATGTCTATAATCTGCGAATTACAAATATTTAGATACTTCTCTTTCTTTTGTTTTTTAGTTTGACGTGTGTAAAAAAAAACAAATTATTGGAAATGTTAATTTATTCGAATTTAACCAAACATTGTTTGATATTAAATATTTGTTCATCTATTTTTGAAATAATTGCTTTTATTATTTCATTAATTTTATTATGTTTTATTGTTTATCGATTTATTTTTAATAAGTATGATAAAAAACAATTAAGATATAATATTTCAATTATTCTTTCTACTAATGCTCTTTGTTTACATGTTATTAAAATTTTTATACAATTTATTTATATAAATTTCAAAACAGTAAAACGAGATTTTTATTTTATTATTGCATCAAATAATTCATTCTTTTGTCGTCTTTATAGTTATATATATCTATGTCTTTCAAGCTATGTTTCGTTCTATACGAGTTTTATATCCAAGAAGTTTAAAATTACATCAATTATATATTTATTTATAATTATTTCTAAGAATTTTTGAAGAACGATTATTTGTCTTATTTTTTACTAGTTGTTATGAATTCTAATGAACTTATTTGTATGTATGATTTATTTTTCTCACTTATCATTAAATCAGGATGTTACAAATTTTTGAAAGGAAAAAAATTTTAAAACAAAAAAGAACTTGTTTTTGTGCTTGATATAGTTTGTTTATGAAATCACACAAACATTGCTTGGTGAACTCTGATATGCATAAGTTACTCGAGCAGACTTAGCTCTGGCAGCAGCTATTTGACGTTCTCGTTGTTGATTGAAATAATAAGTAAGTCGTTTCACTGGTTCAATATAGTTATTTTGTATCCAAGACATTTTATATGTCATAATTTTTTTGACATTATGTGTTTGTCCAGAAATGACAATTGATTGAACAGCTAAAAGTTGATGACGTACTTGACTTAATTCATAAAATTTATTACTACTATCACCACAAAGTTCATCCGAATGAAAAAAAACTTGACCATCAAGCTCGTTTGGACTAAGTGCTAAAGCAAATACTAGTACCGCTCTTTGTTCAGTATCACTAAGCAATGACCAATTGTGATAGTCACGATAGCGTCGTACATCTTGATCTTTGTACTCAATAGCATTGAATACGCAATTGAGATAATACATAAGTCGAGCTAAATCATTATCCGGAACTGTTGCTCTTGTGCTTGTTGGTCGTAAACTAAATTGATCACGAAAGAGATGCAAAGCCATCTTATGCAACAGTTCTAATGATTGTATGATTTTATTTCGACGCTGCAAAAATCGACAAATAAAACTCAACTTTTATACTTATTTCATTTCGTATAAAATTGCGAAAGTTTCTCTTGGAATGATGACATCAAACGGAAGTAAATCATTCAAAATATTTTTATTTTAAACTCTATGACACAAATTTTGTTTTTCTTTCCAACTAAAGCTATTATTAATTGCGTAGAATTTCTTAAATTTTGAAAACGCATAATACATAATGACATTCATACATAAGAAGGGTGTGGATAGGATGTGGATGTGGATGCTTTTTCTTCTCCTAACCCAGACCCACACCCAGACATCCCAAAAACACAGTAATTATTTATATGTTATACATTGTAAAATAGTGTTCGTGCACAGATTCTCTTTCATGAATTGGTAAATATTTCATATGATTCTTGGAAAAAAAACTTTCATTAACATACTTCCTAGGAAGTTGAAAATTTTGAATTTTGTTTACGGTGAAAGACTTTAAAATAATTCTTTTTTTTTTGTTCGTTTTAAATAAATAATATAATTTTTGAATGCAATATTCCCGATACGAAGAAAAAAACTTATAATGTTATGATTTTCTCTAAATAAATCCATAATAAACTATTGTAATTGATACAGTTAGAAACTGTCATTGATGAAATGTTGGGCACAATCTTTATTCAAAGAAGAATTTATAGAAAGATTTCGAATATTAAAACATCGTACGTATGAAAGAAATATTATTCACTCGATCGTATATAAAAAGTAATTAGAATGTCAAGAACGTTAGTTAAGCAGTTGCTTTTAAATCTCAGATAACAATGGATATTTTTCAAGTCAAAATCGAGTACAAAATGTATCAAATAATTTATTAACATGTCTCCCGTTATGTTTTTTTTTAAACAGAAAACTGAATAAAAAAAAACAGATATCCAATTTACAATAGAATCATTTATTATATCATCGCATCAATATTCATTACGGTTAGTATAGAATATATTAAAGTTTAAATGAGTTAAATTAAGCATGGTTACTAATATATTTATCACGACTGGTGATAATCATATATCAAATTACTTTAATATTATTATCGATGAAATAGAAAGTAATTTTCGATGATGATGATTATCATTCATATTGTTGAGAGGTATATGAACTCATTCAAAATAAGATGTTCATTAGAAATGATCAATCGATTCTCAAGATTGATATGAAATTGATACATATATGAGAGATGGCAAAATTACAATTGCTATGTATTTATACTAATCTGCTATATATAGACAACAATGAATCATTTTAGATAAATTCTAAATAATATTTTTTTTAAAAATCAAGAAAATTCCTATATGTTGAATGATATTTAATCACTTTCAGATGTGAAAATTGATGACAATCAATTATTATTTTGTATAATGTCCTTAAATCATCAATGTAACATAATCAAAGTCATCGTACATGAATCAACTGTTGGAGCGTTAAATCAAAAGAAAAGAAACTATGTTTATATTGAACTCTTATCATTGTTATCTAAGAAACGAAGTGAAATAATTTGATTGGCACATGAAGAAAATATTGTCGGGGGAAGAAAATCAGAATAATTCTTTCAGATGCCATGAATTTTTATTTGCTTTCAATATGATGTGTTAACATTGATTGAAGTAAAAAAAAGAAAAATGCTCCATGTCCTTGATTATAAACATAAAAGAAAGTTTTACCGTTCTCTCGTTTTCTTTTCTTTGCATGTCTAATCGTTTTTACTTAAAACTTCATTAAATAATTTTATTTCTTTCTTCTCGAGCGCATGAATAATATTCTCTCTTAAGAAAGGATCTTTACAAAAGTATGTCATTTTTCGGTAAAATATAAGAGAATATAGAATATATTCATAATCAATGTCAATCGATTCTAATGATACTTACAAGGTTAAATAGTCTTATTGTAAGTTAATGTCAAACAGAACTTCTATTAACTTTTAAATAAGAATCAATTTTTTTTTGTTAATTTATTTCGGCTGTAAACATTATATGAAATATTAATGTTATCTCATTCATTGAATGGTAAAGACCATCGGGTCCAAGAATTTCTGAATCTGGACTCTATTGAATGGACTAATCATAAATATTCATATGCAATATATCTACGAGTATTGGAAGATGAAAACCAATTAGAAGCACAATAATAATTCATCAGCCGATTTGCTTTGCTTTACCTTAAACCTTTCGAAATTCTAATATGAATCTAACTTATACTATTTCACGACTATGCAGAATAGTTCAGGATTGAAATAGACTAAAGCAGAAATCATACACATATGGAAAAGTTGCTTTGAGTCATATTTAATGTATTTTGTTCAAATTTTATAGCAACAAATATTTTATTTTCATTTTATCAAAAATAAATAAATAACAAAATGCAATATTTTAATATTTTACAAGCATCATCGTCAGATCTTTCATTGAAAAATAATATGAACATAACAAATGATCTGTATAAGATTTCAAAAAAAAAGAAAAAGAAAATATTCATCAAACAAATTCTATATGAATATATTATGTTACTTTTTATTGAAAATTTATAAGTTTAAAATCAAAATCACTCTATAATATATGACATCCTACTTTTTCCAAGATATGAATAGAGAAAATACTGAGATTTAAAGTAAAATCAAATCCTGAAAGTTTACAAATAGATATTTTTTTTTTTTTTTTACAAATAATTCAAAAGACAACATCAAAATAAACAAAAAACACATAAAATGACTAGTGCTATTTTTAAATATCAATATGTTCTTCTTCTGCAAGACGAACAACAGTTGAATTTGAATTATTTAATTTACATGATAAATCTGTTCCAGTACTTGTACATGTTGTTGTTGTTGAAATTGATAAAGATACTGGTCGACTATTTTGTTTTGATTGATTTATTAATTCATGTGGAGATTTTCTTGAAATAATAATAGAAGATATTGATGATGGAGAATTATTTTGAACTATTGAAGAACGTTGTTGATGATCTAATAATGAATTCTAAATATTTATAATTAATTAATATTAATTCAAAACAAAATTCTATTATTACTTTATCATTATTTAATTGAACAAGTCTTTCATGTTCATCAGATTGATTATCACTTATTTGACTATTAGTAGAAAGACTTTCATTATTAATATATGTTGATTTTCGAGGAATAGAAACATATAAATGATATGTTTTATTTTGTTTAAAATATTTTTTACGATTAAATATTAATTTATAAGAACAATATATTATTAAAAGAAAGATAAATATTAAAAAAATAATAAATAGATATAAATAATTATATTGAAATATTTTAATAGTATTAATTAATGATGTAGATTTATTTAAATATTCAAGAATATGATTTTTTGAAGTAAATAAATGACAATTATAAGTTGAATTTAATCGAATTGGTTTTCCATGATCAATTGCCATTATTTGAAGATGATAAGAAGATTCATTAAAATTATCAAAATAAAATACTTCACCTTGATTATTAATTATAAATGAATTTTCAAATGGAGGAAGAATAGAATAAGAAATAAGACCATTATCATCTAAATCTAAATCAATTGCTTGTATTTGAAATAAAGGTTGATCTAAAAATTAAAATTTTTCATATAAAACAAAAAAAAAATTTTTCTTTTTTATTCGTCTTAACAAACCTAAAGATCGATTTTGTAAAAGATTTAAATGTAAATTACAATTAATTGATGAATTAAATTTTGGTGGTGAATCATTTAAATCAATAATATTTATTTCATATTCTAATCGTATAAATTTCGATGGTTTTCCATAATCAAATATAATTAAAATAAATTTATTTAATTTTATATTTTCATCTTCACGATCAATTAAACGATTAATAATAAGTAAAAATGATTTTTCATCATGTATTTTTATTCCAATTAAATCTTCACCTTGTTCTATTTTATATGATATTTTACCATTTAAACCTGAATCTTGATCTGATATTGATATATGTGCTAAAATTTCACCGATTGAAGTATTTTCAACAATCGATATAATTGAATTATTTATAAGTGGATTAACAAAAGTAACAAATGCTTGTGGAAAATTATCATTTTCATCAATAATAGAAATATCAATTGTAACAAAACATGCAAGAGAATTTTCACCACGATCTCGAACTTGAATAATTAATCGATAAGATTGTTCAGATTCATAATCAAGTGGATTAATAAGAATTAATCTAAAAAGAAAAATTTCATTTTGATTAATTAATAAATAAAAACTTACATTCCAGTAGAATTTCCAATACGAAAATAATCTCTCCAACTAGAAGATGGAAAACCATTACTAATTGAATAATGAATCTATTACAATGAAATAAATAAATGAACATCTTTCTTTTTTTTTTTGTTTTTGAAAAACTAGATTTTACTTTTCCATTAAGTCCAATATCATTATCGGTTGCATTAATATATGTTAATTCAGTTCCTACAGGTGTATTCTCACTAATATGAAGTTGAATATATGTTTTAGAAAGAAGAACTGGATTATCATTCGTATCCTAAGTAAAAAAAAACAAAATTGATGAAAGGAAATGAATTATTCAATTGAATAATATTTACATTGACTTGAATAAATAATTTTGTTGAACTTTGTTTTTTTGGTTTTCCATGATCAAAAGCAATTAATTCATATTGATAAGAATCTTGTTTTTCTCGATCAATTTCTTTGATAACTTTTAATGCTAATCCTCCATTAATTTTTGTAATTAATTCAAATGGTCCATCATTATGATTTTTAAGTTCATAATGAATTCGACTATTTTCACCTAAATCACTATCATAAGCTGATTCTATTGATAATTCAAATCCAATTGGAACATTTTCAATAATATTTAAATGATAATTATCAAAAGGAAATTTTGGTATATGATCATTAATATCATCAACATTTAAAATAAGTTTTAAAAGACGATATGGTATTTGCCATTCAATTAATTCAATAATTAATTGACATTTCTTACATGAACATATATGTTCTAAACATAAATATTCTCGATCAAGTGAATGTAATAATGAAATATGACCATTTGATATATTATAATATACAAAAGAATTTTGATTTCGACCTGAATCTAATAAACGATATGTTATATTATTTGTTGTTATAAAAAGTATTGTTGATAATGGTAATTCTTCATTAATATGTATATTAATTATTTGTTGATTTTCATTTTTACCATAGATTATAGATAAAATAGATAAAAACACTATAGAAAACAACATCTAAAAATTAAATAAACAATTTTATTGCCTCTTCTAAATCAATATGATTATATTGAAGAAAATTAATATGATGACAGACATTCACATCTCCATCGACTATTATTTGTTTTTCTTCGATATGTGAAATAAGACATAAACATATGGTACAAATAAATTACAATATTTACTAAAATTCAATGCTATGTTTATTCGTTCAATAGTTTTCATCATTAATTTAAACTTGAATAAAATCAACTATGATAGATTCTAAGAAAATATTCTAGATAATAATCATTCAATAGAAACTTAAAGAATTAATATCTTTCGTATATAACAATTCCTATAATAATTCATCATATTTACCTTATTTTAAGAAAAATAATAATAATTTATATTGAATTGTTGACTTTGACTTACTATTCAATAATAGAATCAAATGAATCGACATATGTCGAGTGACTATTATTGCTCATCATTCTTCTAAGTGTGATTGAATATAAATATAGTCCATAGCAAACATTGATTGAAATTCATATTAAGATGACAAGACACTGCACACGCATGCGATTATATGTATCGAATCATTGAATCATCAAACAAAGAAAAAAAGATGGACAGAGAGTGAGAGAGAGAGCGAGAGAGATCAAGGGTATAGTTTGCATGTTACTATGAAGGTCATTATTATGATGTGAATATACATATGGATGATTATCTGTCATAACATTGCCTTTAATCATAATAATCAATGACCATGTTACTGTCTATCTATCTATCGACACTATTAAAATAAACAGTCTGTCATAATTACTTGCATAAAATAATTTAATAGTCAAAGTTTCCTTCAGGCAATATTGTGACTAGTTTTAGTATCAATAAATGTCTATTACAATATTCAAATCATTAAAATACATGTATAGACTTGATCAAAATATTTTTGTAAGATACTCAATTACATGACTTACTTGTTGATATATAATTATAAAGAAACAGATTGAATAAAAATCATTCATTTGATTCTTTGCGTGCGTGTTTATATGATTTGATTACATCATTTTCTGGAAAAGAAAGAATATGAGTCCATATTTCTTTTCCTTTGCGTTTATGATTATTTGATGAATGGACAGCGGCAAGAGCTGTCCGAAGAAAGCGAAGAAAAAAAAAAAAACGTAGCGTAGCGCGTCTAACAGGAAGGAAATCTTTAAAGAAAGCTAGGATAGAAAAAAAAAAGGGACAATGAATGTCAAGTATGAAATGGAACGGGAACTAGATCATTCTCTTTATTTATAACCATCACATTTTTCCATTTGTCCCTTTTGGTTAGATATTCACCGTCTTCATGTCAAACAATATACGAACGTGATCAAGCTCAACGGTCATATATAAAATATGAATTAATCATTTTGTTGCCCATTATCTGACAAAGTCGCTGATTTTTTTTTTTTGCTTAAAAAAAAAATACCGTATCATTCTCTGAATATATTTAAAAGAAGGATGAATGATGTAATGTCATTAAAAAAAAATTTGACACGACAATGGAATAAAAGACGTATTAGTATAGATTAAATGTCATTGAACACTTTTAATCATCTATTTGCAATAAGTTAATTATATTCTTATATTCAACAGCATCAAGAATCTACCTAAAGTTTTGATGAAATGTATTCTAAAAAAAAAATTTCAGTCTATAAAAAGCCGATATCTATAGATTAAATGGTAGAGAAAAATGATTTATAATTGACTACATACTGTGAACAAGACCATTTATTATAGTGTTAGTCTTATAATTGTTGATTAAGCTATACATATGCATCTGTACTACAGTTAAAAGAAATAATTTGTATGAATGTGTCGGTCAATTCATTTCTTTTCTTTTTTATTGAAGAATTTTCTTTGAAGAAAATAAGATTGAAGCAGATGGACATATGAAAATGATCGATAATCGACATTGTCACAGGCACTTTTAAGATATTGATTATGAGTGATAAGTGTTCGATACCGTCAACTTGAGTGTTTAAGAATATGAAATGAAAAAACTTAATGAGTCGAAGATTTCATTGGAAAATAAACCTTCGATTTTTCTCATCATATGTTTGTTTGTTTGTTTTTTTGCAGGAAATTCTTTAAGGTTAACCGATGTCTATGCTTTTGAAGTATTGTAGACTTCTAATCACTATCATTGATCATTTTTTTCTCTATTGATTCATATAACAATAATTAATTTGCTTGTCCTTTTCACTCCGTTTTCTTTTTTGTATTATATCCTTTGTCAAGTTAATCGACTAATGCTTATCTCTTTTACTTGATACACATGTCAAATAAGTAGCAAGAACGATCATGTTTTGAACACATCTTTTTTTCTTAAGATGAGTATTATTTCATGTTGAATAGATCGCGTGAATGAGATTCTAGTGTCAAAGTAGAATAAATATAGAAAGAAATATGTTTCTTTTTTTTTTTTTATTATCTTTTTCAATATATAATCTTTGATGAGACGTCTATTTAAAAGAAAAGTGATTTTAATGTTATTCAATTAAGTTATATAATTATTCAATAAGCTCAGAGAAAAAAGGAAATTTTTTTTTTATTAATTTTCATTGATTCGTATGTTATTCACTCAGAGTAAAGAAAAGTACAACAATTATACTCTTCTTAAAAATCATTGTTTACAAAAAACAACAACAACATAGATTTCAGTATTTATGATACAGTTCCAAACATTCGTATCAAAAGAAAATAACTAAACTTCACTTAATAAGAATATATTTCTTTTCATCAAATCTTTTATTTGTTAGTGCTTTATTACACAAATCCTATTGACATAAAATAAATTTATAATAATGTATACAAAAAAAACTAGCATTCTTTTTTTATTTGCAATAATTCTTTACCTATCCGATAGCGGTAATTCAAATATAGATGTTTCCTGTGATAAAATATTGTTTCAACATATGCATTATTGAATGAACTTAAAAATATATTTATATTTATTGTTGTTCTATGTATGTATTGACTTCTTATTTTCAAGGAAAAGTTTCTAATCAAATGAGTTTAATTAAGTTTTGCTGATTTGTAGAAATAATTAATGTAATTATGGATAATATATCATTGATTGAAACCGATTTCTTTAGAAATTTTCTTCGAACTAGACAAAAAAAAATCACATTCTCTTAGATAATACGGACGAGTGTATAATCAAAAAAAAAAAATATTAATCAATTCAAGAGAACTAAGTAATTCACGTATGTGCGCTACTTTTTTCTTTACCTTTTTCATTTTTCTCACAGTCATTAATGACTATATACGAGTCTCGTATTCGTCGATCTAAGTTCTTTAAATTTATTTATATTATAATCTCTGTTGTTCGATATACAATTTTCACAGGACAATATTCATAGATAATAGAACATTCGAAATAGGAAAAATTTTGTAGAATTATTCATCAATCTTTGATTGTTACACCAATTCAAATGAATATTTATGTTTTTTCTGTTGACATTCAGAACAGAAATCATAGTTATGATATATCTGGCAGCCATATCATTCTCCAATTAATGATCCAATTTCACATTCATGACATGGGATATTTTGACTATGAATTCGTATGCAGTATAAAATTTATCATCAGTCAATAGGATGATCAGTATGGAAAATTCTAAGAAACAAGTAATATAATATGAATTGTTAAAAAAAAACATAGAGGCCAACCGATGAGCTTTAAAAAAGTTTCGAATAAGGCACTTGAATTGAGATAAACAGAGAACCATATCATTTATAATCGGTATTCATCTAATGATTGTCGATCTTCATAGTTGATATGATCTCGAAGTTGATCGTGCATGTTGACAATCTTTGACTAATGCCAATGTCAAATCACGAAAACGTGAACACTACCAATCAGTCGAAAAGTAAAATCTAATCGATTTAGCATTGCCTTCCCGAAGAGTTTTCATTTTGATCTATGTTTGTTCAATTTGAATCATAGCGACTAGAGTTCACTATTAACATAAAAGTATCTATCGGTTCATTTATTATAAATTCCATGTATAAATATGTATTTTCCAAGGGAAGGGACAGCATACTTCTGAGTATTTCTCGATACTTCTCTGTTTCTTCATACTTCAGCAGTACAGAAATATGCTTTTTTTCCCTTGGATTTTAAAACAAAAATAAAATTAATATTGAAAAAAAAAATTTGTTCTATTCAGTTCAATGATAGACATTTCAAATTCATCTATGTCACAATGATATTTTTACGAGGCATGCATAGTTGGCATACGAGGCAAGAATACTTTTGATGTAGCATCGAAATAAAGTTCTTTTGCTTCATTAATATATTTGTCGGAAATATTTAAACGACGTAATTGAGGCGTATGTAAACGTACAAGATGATTAGTTGGTAAGTGAAGTTCTTCGATCAATGATGGTAATACCGTCGATGTCAATGATGGATTGGAAGATGATGTGAGTTTGCTTGTAGCAATTGAGACACCAGTCAATTGATCCACAGACGTGTGATGTTGAGAGAGTTGATGTTTATCTCGTTGTTGTTCTGGTCGATGCAATTGAGCATAGCTGAGTACGAGTGGTCGAAATGGTGTAGGACAACGATTAACAGTTGTGCGTTTTGGTAAGAGTGATGTATTCTGTTTGGTTGCAGTGATTTGTCGTATAGTGGGTAAATGTAATAAACGACGTGCAGATTTTTGTATCGATAATGAAGATGAAACAGTTGAGCTTCGATCTAAACAAAATGAAAATGTACAGAGAACATGTTCTTGATTTCGTTCCAATTGCTATTTCGGCATAACATACCAGAAGAGCCACAATGGTGTAATGTACGTAATGAAGAGGAACTGATTAAGTGAGATCTTTGTGGATAACGGGCACTGGTGAGTATTGGAATTGGAGTTGGTGGTCTGTTAATATTTTTCGTGGCTCGATGTATTGCAGCTGTTGACCATCGAAATTCGAGTGAGGGCCCGGTGCTTGTAGTTTTATTCGCATTTCCCGTTGGTAGTCGTGTTGAATCCTTTCGATTTGATTGTCCGTTTAACATTAGTTCACAATAAATACTTGAGCAAACTATAATGAGATTGATCAATGCTTTTTGTATATCTACCTGAACAGTCGATTTGCTTTATAATATTGATGAATGCATTGGCTTCTTTATCGACAAAAAATAAAGCGACGTAAGAAGAAAAGATTGATGTTAATTTCTCATCTCTTCTCTGCCTAAACGATAGAAAAATGTTCGAGAGCAAGTTGAGATTCGTTTCAAGAGTAATTCATTGAAAGAAAAACATAAGAATAATTGCTTTCATACAAAGAATCGTTGCCTGATTGTAAAAACGAACATACGCAAATACAGAAAATGGATGGTTGTTATTAAATATTCTCTTGTTGTTGTCATCGTTGCATTTGTTGTTTGTCCACTACTTGTCTTAATAACTACTCTATTCCTTTTGAGTTGATGTAAAGAACACAAGCATTAATTCATATACACATGCAAAGACACAATAGGGTATGCATCAGAATTTCAAGGAAGAAGCGTACAAGAAACATAGTGCATTCACATCGATTCTGTCGATGATAATTTTCGATATATTTCCGTTTGAATAAGATGTTGAACTGGTTCATGTAATTGTGCATGATGGTACATAATGAATGTTGAGAATAATTTGAATTTGTTGACTTAAATATTACTCCTATGAGGGATGAAATTGAAAGTAATAAGATCGGTGATGAAGCAAAATTTTTACGACTATGATTTAAATGATCTGAAAAATAAATGAATGATCAGTCAATTTCTTAAATGGTCAATTATTAATTAATTAAGTTTGTTAATAAATTTAAAAATTAGTAAATAAGATTGATTAAGAGTAAATACAATAGTAGGGCAAGTAAAGAAATCAAAATAATCGAACATAAATAGAAAAATCGGTTAACTTTGAAAAAATTATTATTATAATGAATGGTTCAAGTCAAATGATGATTGGTAGGAAGATCTACAGCTCTGACCATAGTTTTCAATAATTGACTATTTACATGAGATCTCTTCTAAATAAATGTAAAATTATTTGCTAAAATCGGTCATTTGGTCGCGATTTTTAAGATCGATTGATCGTGAGATTTTATCGCGATGAATCGACAATTTTTTAAAAATTTATGAATGAGTAACTCTAGTGAATTTTCCATAAAAGAACTCCTAAGGAGTTCTCTGAAGATTTAAAGAATTTCTTTAGGAATCTAGTATGAGAATTATGACTATTGTAAACTTTCATCTACGACATCATTTATTGTTGTTTAATTATACTTGCCGATGAGACTATATTTGATATTAATCTAAATAAAAAAAAATATAACTTATATTGTGTAATGTTTGCTCAAAAAAATTCAAGTGAATTTGATGACATGGATTATCAAAAGGTACAATTTGTATTCCAAGTGATTCTTCAGAAAAAAAAATATTGTATAGCTGTTCATGATTTACAAGTGATTACACAAGACACTTTAACAAATATGCAAATAAAAGATGGACAACTTTTATTCAATTCAAAAAAATCCTTTAATAGTTGGTGCATGGAAATAGAGAATGGTTCATCCTGCACAGCATCAAAATACAACTGTCCAGCATTGTTTTTTAAAAATACAAGTACAAAAACGTTTTTGGTATGACTAATCATTTGAAAATCACTAACATAAGAAAAAATAAAGAAGTAGATAACCAAAAGCTAAACCTGCTTTATTAATATAACAATTCCATTTTGATTCATTCTTTTAATTTCTATTCAATGTTCTTTTGTATTTCTTCTGATTTAATCTCTGTTTTTTATTTGTCATTTATTATTTTTTTTTACTGATTATCTTACCCATTTGACTAAACAAATATTTTGATCTCAGTTTTTACTTCATACTCTTCAATTCTAGTTCTCTCCGAAGTATGAACAAATTGTCTCTGCTGCCGAGGTCTGTTTTTCTTGAAATGTAGATCTTTGTTAGTGACTGCTTTCATGCTTGAGCAGGCTATCCTATTTTAATAGTTGTGGACAAACATGACAGACACGGATCATTTTTATCGAAGTGCAACTCGTTGAGGAACATTCTACCAAATGATGAATCACTTCTCGATTGTTTTTTTAGAGACAAATCCATCCTATGGCCGATTTAGCAGTAATTGCACTCAATCAAATGGTAGGAAACATTGCGAGCGAAAACCTGACCATCTTGACATACGCTCTTTGTTTAGTACATACAGAATGAGAGAGATTTATTTTTGTCGTCGACTTTTTTTGGTTGTGCCCTCTTTGTTTCAAAATATTCGTAAGCGATAATTGTTTCAATTAATAAAAAAAATTGGCATAGATGAATTGCTATGTGATATTGTGCTAAAACTAATCTTTTCATTTTTCAGGCATTAAAACCAATACAATAATTTCAGAGCGATTTCTATTAATTAATCTTTCAGAAGTATCAATTATTTGATAGTACGGGTACCTTCTTTTCTATTCAATATCCCATTCGATTTATGAAAAGGTTTACGTGATGAAAGGAAGATGTGTGTCATGTTTCTTTTTCATGGATTTTCATACTCAAGTATGATGAAATAATTCGAAACGAATTCGAAGAGGCTGTTCTAGTCATATCTATAGGGATTGTCGCTCAAACATTGTTAGAGGAAAAAATGAACTGGGCTCCGTCTATACTCTTTTCATAATATCATGACAGGAACGATATTATATACCGATGGCTAGACAATATTTCTAAAAAGTAGAAACGAATACTTTATACTTAGTTGATTAGCTGTTTTCAGAACAATTCATCAGTATAAGAATACAAAGTCTTTTTGAATATTCGACTTTTTTAGTTTTTGATTCGTGAATATTCATAAACAGCGATGTGCACTATGTGAAATGCCGTGAAGTTTCATCAATCATACACTAGCGGGATACAGTTGATAAGAAGCCTATTCACGGTTTCATTGTTCTAGACACGAAAGAGAATTATCTGAATATTCGAAAAGTTGAATTGATTTTCTGACTTTGTACATTTTTCGACAAATCAAAAATAAAACTAATCGAATGAGCAATTAATTCAATATAAGACTTATAAAATTACTCAATCGTTTGTAGAATGAAAATTTCTACTGTATAGAGAATTAGAAGTTTGGCTTTAATGTCAAAGACATATTCGTAAAATTTCACATAGGCTTGTGACATATCATTCGAAGAAAAAAAAATACTACTCATCAATGATAAGTTTCAATTTGAATCGAATGAAAAAAAAAATATTTTTACGGTTTTACGAAAGCTTTTGAAGATAGTGCATCTGATGATTTTGTCAGGATTAGTGGAGAGAAATATTTAAATTCTGATTCGATATTTTACTATGAGGACGGTTCTCGTTCTCATCGGAAACTATATTATAATTCTTATTGATAAAATATTTCTTGTTAGATAGAGTTCTTTTCTGTCATTCTACGACAAATGTAATAGTCAATTATTGATATCAATGTGAAATCCCATAAAGTAAGATTATTTGAGTATCTATATAAATAATCTAGGCTGAATGATGTTCGATATTATCAACTTATTCTACAAGTTTTTAATTTCTAGAAGATTTACACGCATTATTTTGCTCAGAATAGTCTTGAGAATTTCAAAGATTCAACAAACCTTCCAGTCTAATAAAATCTCACATTATTCTACTATTTTAATTTTATTTCTTTTGAAACTATTTTTTGTTTCTGTATGTTTTAGATGGCTGGCATACGTCACCTTATAATATTTTTTCTTCTATTTGATCTGTCCATTGGTATAAACATCCGTGATCAATCCTCTCAACTTTCTGAACGAATTGATTGTTTCCCTGAATCTGAATCGATATTTTCTAATTATTCGAAAGATAAATGCTTGGAACGTAACTGTCTATTCGATGATTGGGTTCCTTCAGATACTATTCAATGTTATTTGCGACCCAATTATGGATACATATTGAGAGAAAATCCACAACAAACTGAAAATGGTATTCGATTACGATTGCAAAGAAATCAAGCAGTTGGTAGTATGTTTCCAGCACCTATTGAAAATATTGTACTTGATGTACAACATTATACCAATGATATAATTCGATTCAGATTATATGATGAAGACAATCAACGATATGAGGTTCAATGAAACCAGTGGAAATTATTCATTCTAGAACATTATATTCTTTCTTTTAATTTTAGGTACCAATTCCATTGTCATCAGCATCTAGTCAAGTTTCATCAGCTCAATATGAATTTCATCATTGGTCTGATCCTTTACGTGATAATATTCTTTCATTTTCAATCAAACGTCAATCGAATCAAGCTACATTATTTGATACATCACTTGGTAGTCTTATACTTAATGATCAATTTCTTCAAATAGTAACACGTCTTCAATCACCACATATTTATGGATTTGGTGAAAATAGTCATGATACATTGAAGCATAATGTTAATGAACGTAAAACATGGGGTATCTTTGCACGTGATCAAGGTTAGTTGTTAATAAATATAAAATATTTTTATTTGTCAATATTTATTTTTGAAGGTACTCATTGGGGTTCAAATGCAAATCAATATAGATCCCATCCATTTTATCTTGTTATGGAACAAACAATCGATTCTAATTAAGTACCATCAGGTAATATGCATGGTGTTCTTTTACTTAATTCTAATGCTATGGATTATTCGTTTGGATCGGTTCCATCATTAACAATGCGTACAATTGGTGATATTTTGGATTTTTTTGTATTTCTTGGTCCAAAACCTGAACAAGTTATTCAACAATATACATGGTTAGTTGGTCGATCTATTTTACCACCTTATTGGTCACTTGGGTTTCAACTTGCTCGTTGGGATTATGGAAATTTAACACATATGCAACAAGTTGTTAAACGAAATCGTGATGCTGGAATTCCTCTTGATGTTCAATATGCTGATATTGATTATATGGATGCTGAAAAAGATTTTACTATTGATCCAATTAATTTTCATGGAATAAAAGAATATTTTGCTGAATTGAATGCAGATGGAATTCGAACTATTGTTATTTTGGATCCAGCTACAATTGATGATCAAGTTCATTATGCACCAACGATTGAAGGTATTAAAGAAGATGTATTTATTAAATGGGAAGATGGCAAAACATTAATGAAAGGATCTTGCTGGCCAGGCGATGTTTTCTTTCCAGGTTAGTAAAAAAAAATAGTTCCTATCAATTGCTACGTTCAAAGTAGTTATTCATTTTGGAAAATCTTTTGAAACTAATTCTTAAAAAAGAAAATAAAACTTCAAGAAATGCTATATGATCTAGAGAGCTGCAGGTCCACGTTTTTGTGGATCCGAATCCGAACAATGTTCAAAATTTGGACCCAGACTCGCAGCTTCCTAATATGATCTCTCGATTTATTTTCAGAATCTTTAGTTCGAAATATTTTATTTTCTACTATCTCAGTCAGTTTCAAAAATCTTATCGTGTTTAGAATAAAAAATAATAATAACACTAAGTATTATCTACTTCTTTCATCGCCAAAAGATTTCTTCACAAATCGAGCTCAATCTTGGTGGTCACGATGGGCCTTACCAAGGAAAAAACATCGTGATAGTATATCCTTCCATTTTTTGTATTGAAGGATTTTAAATACATTGTTCAAAGATTTTTGATACCAGGATTAATCCAATTCGAGAGAATTATACATCTGTTTGCATCTCCTTTCTTTGGGCTATCAAATGGCATTTTAGATGTTTTGGATCACCTTTATTGAGAGAGAGAATCAGTTCAGCAACTGTACAATTAACATGAATTAGTTTAATGGTTCAAAGAAGGCGCTCTTCATGGCATTCTAATATCTTTGCAAAAAAAAGTCATATTTCGTGTATGGGAAGACTCAGAATTATTTCCTATTTCTAAACACTATGGATTGAGATCGGATCAGTACCCAGACAAAAGAAAAGAAGTTTATCGGTAGAATACAGGTAAAATCTAAGAAAACGGATGTTTTTCGTATACTCGGCTGATAACGCAACGAAAGGTATACTAATTATGCTTAAATTTGTTACCAAAAAAATTCAGCACACTTTTTGTGTATATGCCTAAAACTAAAGCAATTCGAAACATTCTATGATCCAAAATGTCTTGCATATGTGAGCTCATCATTTTGGTGAATTCATTGTAAACACTTCCGTTTTTGTTGTATGTTATTAGACATTATATAAAATCTTTTTTTAGGACAAACGAATGGTTAAGTTGATATAACAATATTATTAACTCAATAATACGTTATTGATTGAAGAATAAACAAATGTTAGATTGATAAATTTATTACAATGAATCAATGAGATTTGTTGACAATTCAACAAGTTTTTGAATACTATTTTATTGACGTTTGGATCTGTTAACGATGAATCTAGTTTTCGATTCCATACAATATATTGTGAAATAAAATATTGATTATGTTTGTATCTCTTCAATCAGTTCAAGTATTTCTTCCCAACTTTGAGCTATTCTGACGGAATTAATAAAATCAGGTTGAAATTTTCGAGCTCCTTCAATTTTTTTGGGATCCGAACAAAGCCATATCTTGATAATAGAAGATGGAAAAGCACGTAATACTTGCATTCTATCATCAATCATGACATTAACATTGTTATCATTAGCGATCTTGACTTTTTCTTCATATTCTAAACAGTAATATGCTCGGATATGAGATAAGTTGTATTTCTCTAACCATATATTCGATTGTCGTTTATAACTATCTTTGCATTTAGAGATGAATATAACCATATTCGATGTATTTTCTGATAATTTAATCACAGATTTTACAGCATTTTCAATTGGTTCATCATTGCGTTGATCTTTTATCACACCACCAATATCACAAGCAATAACAGTGATTGGATGAGCACTCATAACAAGCAAAATTATATCTGAAAAGAATGTTTTCAATACAATGATACAACACATTCACAAGCAACAAGCTTATGAGGATCAAATAGTTAGAGGAATTTGTCATTACCTTACACAAAAGTTACTTAATTCAGTTCTTTTCAGTAGCTGTCGAGTAGAAAAGATGGAAAATTATATTTAAATTATCGCCATTGAATGATGCTGTTGCTGAAGGATTTTCTTGGCAAAGTATCCTTAAAATCAAGACATAAAATTCTCCATTGTGAAGCATTCTATTCACCAAAACTACAACATATTTGCATTCCTCTGAACATCCTATACTGCTGTGAAAAAAGGGCCTAAGTAAAATACACTCCAATAGCAGTTTAACTCAAAGACATCATCAATTGATAGACCTTCAAATATTATCCAATCCAAGCTACGTCAACCCCATCCAATTCAGGATTATTGTAAGTTAGAGAAGCTTAAGGTTGGTTGGAATGACTCTAGCTGACTCGAAGAGGAAGCTTTGGAATCGATTAGCGTATCTAGGAGTGGACCAATACAAATGAGACTTCATTTTGTTATGAAAGATACTTTGAAGAAAACAACTTGATGAAGAATCTCCTAACTCAAAACTTTGAAAGTCTTTTGATTGATAATAGTCTCGAGTTAAACTGTTGTTGGAGTGTAATTTGTTTATACTTATGTTTCACAAAAGTGTGGCAAGTTCAGAGTAACGCAAATATATTGTAGTTCTGGAGAATAAAGTGCTTCACGATGAAGAATTTGACGTCTAGGTTTTAAGAATACTTCGTCAAGAAAACATTTCATCAATACTAATGACATTTCTTGCGAGAAACAATGTAAAGTTCGTTTGAACTTATAGCAGCCTTTTCAGGTCGCTTCAGAAAGGGTAATCGAAATTTTTGTCCAACATAGTTTTCATTACACTAGTTGAGTTCTAGATGGTCTAGAATTTTCAGAAGAATCTCTGCAGTCACTTGGATAAACTCTTGGGTCATGTTTAAATAGCCTCAGTCAAAAGCATGAGTGAAGACTTAGGAACCGGCAGATCAGACTTGATTCTGTGCTAAAAACTGCATACGTTAGAAAATAGAACAAACGATATTGTTCTGAACATTGGAACACCTAAATGTCCAGTTCATCGAGCTCCATAAATATTGAAATTTTACACACTTTGAAGAAAATGTATATAATGGTGATCCATTTCTAGCAGAATTAACAATAGATCATCGAAAATTGAACAAAACTAGACAAAAAAAAACTCACCATATAAAGGATTTTTGCAAGACAGATCGAAAAGTAACAGTATTTTTGTGATAGAAAAATACAATGACAATAGTTTCAAATATTCAGCATGAAAGCAAAGGCTTTAATTGATCGACACCAACGCATGGTTTTTGTATTTCTATGTGCAGTGTAAGAGAATAGCAAAAAGTGAAATAACACGAACGCTTCAGTGTGCTGTTATATAGAGAAAAGAAGAAGAAAAAAGTTACATAGAAATTATGCAATAACGTGTAGGTGTTTCTTTTCAAACATGTCGTCATTTCGTCAGCATGTGAAAATATGTTTTTTCATCAATGCGTTTAACTGACTATGAAAAGTTTTGCATTATTAGTTAATAAAATTAGACATATTCGAGTCAAATTAAAATCTTCGCTGCTAATTAAACAAATTTATAATATAGGCTACCATTGGTGTACATGGACGAAGATAATCGAGTTTGACTGTATTTACAATTTCAGTATAGAAACTTCAGGATATGAGAATTATTCAAATCTATTTCATATATATAATCAACTGAATATTTCAATAGTACAGTAGGATTTTATTACAAAAGTGCGATGTTCTTCATCGCTGCTTTTTCCAAATTTCAAAACTAATACTATAACATTTGGTGGCATAATCATATTTTTTTGTGCTCTTTTATAAAAGTGATTTTCTTTTTCTTGAAGGATAAATAGGAGCTTATATACTAATCGACTATCGGTTAACGTAACAATTTGCACTGTATTCGAATGTGTTATATTATTCTTCTTTTTAGCAGTAACTTCTGTTATTTTTTCGCCAGTAAAAGAAAGAATTGTTGGAAGAATATATTCTTGTTAAAACGAATAATGATCACTATTTAATATTTTACAAGACTAATAAATCGATCTTAAAAGTTTTTTTAATTTTCAATTCAATGCGAAGTATCTACAATATATACACATATCATATTAAGAGAGCACCTATGAGGCTATCAAAAAATCTAAGCACTCGTCAAAAAATTGTTTTTTTGATTTAATATTCTCATTTTATTCAACATCATCGAAAACCTCTAAATCCATATTTTTAGAGCATTTGGTTGAACTGGTGAAAAGTTAGTTTTATTCAACCTTTTCAGGTGGTAAGGATCCTAGTTGAAGAAAACCATCGAAAATCGTGATTATAAAGTTGAAGTTTTTTAGATGACAAAAAAATTAACAAATTTTTTTCATGTAATATGCCAAAAGATAGAGCGTCAAAAGTTGAACAAAATTATCTATTTACATATTATTTTTCAACGGACTAAACCCATTTTATTCGTCAAATACTGTCAGAGACTACCGGTTTTTTTAGCGAAAAAACATGTCAACTGTTTTCAGTATATTAGCTGGCATTCAGTTATTTTATGAGATCCCAAGCTAAATTTTGAATATGTTGTACAGTTTTTTCTCCTCTACAACATGGTAAAAAAAGTTTCCGCTTGGAACGAAAAACGTCTCACAAGGTTAATCAACTAGACAACATTTACAGAGAAAAAAAATTAATATAAATGCTTTTATCTCAAGGAAAATAAGTTTTTAATAGCTTATAAAGTATGTAGAGTATTTCTCACGTAACTATGACTAATTTCAATGAACGTGTGCTCTATATAAATTAATGAATAAACGCTTATTGTCTGGTATGTCGGTAAGATCGAATGACTAATCCTAGATCGTCATAACAATATTTGAAAAGCGACAGAAATAATTTATATGTCCTTTAGTATTTATATATACTTTTAGGGCAGTTATAGCATGACGAAGATGATTGTCTACTTACGTGATAAAAATACAAGATTGTTGGCCACGGTAAAGAAAAATCTTTTTCGTGTTTCTCCTCTTCGGCGCGTAGAACCCTTCCTGTTTAAAGAGGAATAACATACTCGGAAAACTTACATTCATGCAAATAGAATTATTTTTATTCATAGGCATTACCCGACAAACCCGTATCCCTTTATGTATTTTCATGTGAATGTAATTCGGTAAATCCGAATCCATTTTATATTTTATTTGTTGTTGTTTGGAGTCGTAGAGGAAGCTGTAGCTATAGCATTCATCAGAAGAGATGATTCAAGTGCCATCTTAGCACTTACCCAACAATTTTCTAATACGTCAACCTCTTCGACAACAGTCTCAATATCTTGAAATTCTCGTTCCAATTCTTCAAGCTCTGAGTCAATTTCTTCATCATCATTATCATTACTAGTATTTTTAGCAAGACTATTTTTGATGATTCCGCTATCAGCTGGAGAATGTTGCACAGCGACTATCTGCCTTTCTCGTTTCAGTCGATAAAGAAAAATGATCGTATCTGATTTTCATTTAAAATTTCGGTAGCCGAAAAGTAAAACTTGCCGTTTTCTTTCAAATTAGAGTGTGGGTGTGAATGTGAGTCTGAGTCTGAGTGAATATTCTCTTTAGCCTGATTGACATTCACATCCACACCCCAGGTTATTCCCGGTACCTAAGTGTTCAACTAGCCATGAAGGTGTTTGTATTGTCACTAAAAGAGATCATACATATTCGAATCAAATGAAAGTTTTCATTGCCAAACTAACAAGGTCAAAATATTAGCTGCTGTTGGCTTGTCTAGAGAGAGATATTCGATTTTTACGTTACTTACAGTTCGGTATTTGTAAAATAATTCCTGATTGGTATATAAGGTGAAATATTGTATATGGGATATTTTTCTTATGCAAGCTTTTAAAAGTCTAGTATTTTGAGTGTATACATAACTCGACTATGACTACACGTTCACAAAATCTATGGCTATTTGTGGGTGTTCACGTACTTTACAAATACCGATCCTTAAGTAACATAAAAATTGAAAATCTCTCTTTAGGTAAGTCAGTGGGGTAGCTAATAACTTAACCTTGTTAGTTTGGCAGTGAAAATTTTTATTTGGCTCGAATATGTATGATCTCTTTTATTGATGACACAACACCTTCAATTCCCAGTAAATAAGCATTTCACTTGTTTTATATGTAACTGTTGATGCCATTTTCCTCTTCAAGTATTTTGTATTATATATATCTTCTATGCATGAATCTGTCAATGGACACAGTCGATATTTCGATTTTCAAAGCGACCAACCTATGCCATATCATTTTATTTTCTATTTGTTTTGAAGAGAAACAAAAGATCAAGTTCTTATTTCATTATATCCGTTACCTATCAAATCCAATAGGAAACAGACCAATAAAAATAATATCTCTGAAAAAATCTTGATAAGGAAAATATTATTCTGTTAGCTCTGCTTCTATAAGACGAACACAATGACTAAGTACATCTTCATTTTTAATTAATTCGCTAATCTTTTTAGCACTGGTTTTATAAATGTTATAATTGTCAATCATAAGATCACGAATTGCATTAGCCAAAATCTTCACATTAGTCTGACGTATGGGAATAGATCTTGGTCCTAATCTGTTGATAAATATTCGATCACCGTTAAATGGTTGATCAGCTCCAAAAGATAATACTAATGTAGGCAATCCATACCGAAGACTTGCATGTGTAGTACCGGCACCACCATGATGAATTGTCGCTGACATATGAAGAAATAACCAACAATGTGGAATGCCATGTGTTAAATATAATATATTATCAGTAGTGGATAACTTGCTGATGTCTTTGTTTTCAAATCCAACTAATGATATAACTGCTTTACAATTATTTCTATCAAGAGCCAATAAAATTTTGCGTATAAATTCCATTTTTTCATCTGCTTCAAACATGGTACCCATCATTGATCCAAGACCAACATAGATAATCTTCTCGTTTTTCCATTTGGTCAAGAAGTCAAGAATAGGAATTGGTGGTTCAAATTTTGATTTCCTTCTTCAGGTATTGGATCGACCATATGATCATTTTCATGCCAATCGGATGGACGTGGTAATAAATATTTGGAGTAGATTGTTGCAGATACCATTGGCTTACGAAAGAGAGATCGAGTCATTCGATCATAATTTAATTTCATTGGTGGTAAATCTTTAGTGACACGAAGTTCATTGAGTTTATCATTGTAAATGTTTGACATAGTAAAGTCGACTATTTTCCATTTCAATAAATCGGTCCAATTGAACAAACTATCACTTTTCTCCACCTAAACCAGGCGGCGAAAGGTGAGCTGTTCGTGTCACTGGAAATGTGTAGATTCCAATTGCTTTACTATTAGGAAATTTCTCAATACAACTTAATCCAAGAAAAATAGACGCAACTGTGAGAACAATTAGATCAGCATCTTTTATACCAGATAGAATACCATTAAACCATTCTTCAATCATTGGTTGAAATGTACGTTTTACTAATCTCATTTTTAGAATACTTGGATTCCGTCGGAGTTCAATTCCTTCTGAGGTTGTCGATAAAAAATATTCTAGATCACCACCGATTTCAACTGTATCGATACCTGAATAAGTAAATAAAAGGTCATGCCATGAAAATTTTAATGAAAGAATTCTTCAATATTAGATTTCGATTTCTATTGTGCAATGATAGAATGGTAATATGAAAGAATATCAAGCGATTGTTGAATTTAAGATTGATAGTACTTACCAGTAGCTTTTACTATGTCTTGATAACGTTTATGTACACCAAGCCATACGGTATGTTCGCGTTTTTTAAGTTCTTCGGCAAGAATCATGAAAGGTTTCACGTCTCCTAGAGTGCCAATCGCCGGAATAAAAATCTTTTTACCTTTAGTACTCTTGCTACTGTCATTAATTTCTTTGACAACAGAGCTTTCTTCGTGGCTTTCCGAGCCCATGTGATGTTAATCTTCACTTATATTTCTAAGATTGAAATCAATAATAAATTCGAGACATACATAAATAGCGTGCTTCACATAGAAATATAATCGCAAGAGAGAGAATAATCAAATGTTATATGTTGTCGATCGGATGACATGAATCGTTAATTCTTAGGTACATAATAGAAAAACAACGATCCATTTATCCTATTGGCTGAAAACAATTGAAATGAATAAAGCGAATAAACTGTCAACACAAAAGCTAAACGTACAATGATGACAAGGAGAAAAATTATCATGTCACAATTACAACAAGTAACGCTCGTCGCTACGACTCGCTTCACCCTCGACTGAATTCATTCTATTCACTTTGACAAATATTATCAGATAAATCGTCAGTTTGTGTGATGCTATAGCCAACACCATACGAACAAGTCTTTCAACTTTTGCAATTTGGAAAAAGCAACACTGATAATGTCGAGTTTGGAATGTGTTGTATTCGCGCAATATTCTCATCATAGATTACATTTCTTTAGCTTCTATGAGAAATTGGTACGATTTTGAATTAGTCGTCTTCACCACAACAATTGTCTCAGCTCTTTCGAAAAATACTCTATATTTCATTCAAAGCTTTACGCAAGAAAAGACGTGTCTACCTCGTAAATGAATGGCGAGTCACTCATCAGCGTCTCTCGAGGGCGCCAGTTGTGACTCACCGATCTCAGATTCTATTCACTTGGCCGAGCTCTTCTGAAAACTATTGTCCAATCTCTAGAAAGCTTCGCGAAAGAAAGGCTCATATCAGTCTTAGAAACAAGCGGCGAGTCATTGGGGACTTGCCAGCTCCATATCCTATCTTCTTTCCCAACTAATCGTTAAGTTGTGTTATGATTTAATTAAATTGGTTTCCTCGTAACGAATAAATCCATCTATCTGATCGAAAATGAACTTCTTTTTTATTTTCCAAACGATCACTGCATATGGATCATCGATCTGTCTAAAACTTATGAGAACGAAAGATGTTTTTCGAACAAGATTACCGATTAATTTTTTTCTATGCATACTTTCATTGATTTTCATAACAATCTCAACTCAAATTATGTCAAAATGTAGCTTAAATCACACTTTTTTCACTATAAAATCATCACATTTTCGATTAATCCGTGATCTCTTTTACGAAGTGGATTCTCAAGGGCATTTAAATATTTTATAGTAAAAAAAGTGTCCTTAAGCTACATTTTAGCATCATTTGAGTTCAGATTATTTTGAAACTTGAGGAAAAATCTTTCGTCGTAATGAATTTTATACAGATCGATGGCCCAAGTATTGCCCTTTCAAATGGGGAAAATCGCAGCTCTCTATCTTGTTCCTATTAAAAGTTATTTGAAAAATGGCAAACTGCCTTTTATTTTGGATCGGATAATACATGAGAGTAGGTGAATCACCATTTGTATAAATAAGAAAGCATTAGTGAAGCAACGTATGTATAATATCATAGTTAGTGTTCAGAAGACCTTTGCATACGAATAGATAACACTCAAAAATGACATAGAAATGAGAAAATAATCATATAAAGATATTTCTCCACATCATATGCACCTCAAAATAGTATGAAAAAGTCATCGAAAAAATAGCTATGTTTTTCATTTTTATCCATGGAAATAAACATATTGTATTTTTATAGCTAATGAAAGTCAGAAGGTAGAAATGACACTTCAAAAACCTATTTTCTAACGTTTTTACTATGAATATGAGCTATGAACCATGGTTCATCTTTAGTGGAATAATTAGTCTATTTCGCCGAAATACGAAGAGATATTCACATCTTTTCTTGCCCGATGACTTACGAGATACCTTGTATATAAAAAAAAATAACGTTCGAAGTAGGTTTTTCTTCTTTGCTTATTTATTTTCCCTAGAGACAAAAAGTTGATTTTATAATCTGAATTTTTCTATATTTCAATTTCATCAAAAAAAACTTCTCTAGTGTCATAAAGTTGAATTAAAAAGAAAAACAAGCGGCTTAAAAATGGAAATCAGTGACTCGTACTAAATGTTGTAAATAAAGGAAAAAAAATGGCAATGATTAAAGTATGTAAAGGCTAAAGATGCAGAAGAGATACATGACCATGGAAAGACATGTTTGCTCATTTTATTCGAAACTTTTGATTTGTCAATCTCATTTGCATCTCGACATGTGTTTCATATCCGAAAGAACAACGTTTGCAAGTAGTATCGACTAAAGAATGAAACAAGAAAAAAAGCAGTGTGTTATATTATTACATCATGAACGTGCAATAAGAAATCAGTTATCTCACATGATATTTTCCATTATTTTTGAGTACATGATATCTACTATTCATTTTCTAGCCTAAGTGATTACCTGGATTCTGTATTAGCTGGCTATTGTCACTATTTACTCAACTTTCATTTTGTTCTTAAATCGAAATTTGATCTTCTTTGCCAACATATATGATCACATCAAGTTATTTGAAAATTGTATATATATGTATTTTGTTTTTTAAAATAAAGGTAAAAAAAGACCATGATCCATGTAGAACAATTTTTATCTAAAATATCTAATCTATATTATTTCGAACTTATTGCACAAGGTTATCTGGATCTCACTGATGGCCAAAAATGGGAATTACTTGTTTCACATTTGACTATATTCAATTTTCAATTGCATCTTCCATGTTCATTACCACATATTCCCGAAGAAAATATTCTTGATTCATTTTGTTCACTATTTTGACTTGAACAAAAACACTGATTTGTTGCCTATGATGGTCCATACTCACAGAATATCTTTACGATATCTCGTTTTACATGAAATGTTCTCATATATCCGAATATTTATTGGCCACCAATATGCACATCATCCAATTTCTGTTTTGATAAATATATCCATCAAATTGATTTGTCATTATTTAATCCAATTATTTAACGTTTTATCAATGTCACACATCGCTCGTGTTTAATATAGAAGAAACCGACACCAATCTTATATCGACTTCATCTCTCGATCTCATTGAACATATGCCTCATTTACATTCACTTTCGCGTCAAGATCTCTCTATATTAGCTGGTTTATCACATGATATCGCCATCGAAGCGATACGAACTTTACACGTACGAAACAATTTTGAAAAATTTGGAAGTGAAATCCACTATCGATTGGACCTAAATCGATTATGTAGTGTTTTTCCTTGTATCAAATATTTATATATGAGACTAATTTTTCGCGATTATGAAGTTTTATTAATTGATCAATTGAACTATCTAGCAATTGCACAATTTCAATTCTATTATCGTTCATCGTCACTGACACGTTTCTCATCTCAAAGTTTTTGTTCTAAAGATATTTCATCATATGTGAGAGTGGAATGAGATGGTTTCATGTTTTATGCGACAGTTCAATGATATCTTTGAGGATAATAAGTTATAATTGAGTACGAAAAACTAATCGGTCTTTATCGAGATGATAATTTTTAATTTCGTTGAGCGAAAAGTCAGTTCAGACCACTTGAGTTTCTGAATAGCGTTTTAAATTTTATAGTAATAATTTCCCTATCAACAAAAAGAAAAATACAAACACAATCATATAAAAATTGTCTTCGAAGAAATTTTTGTACGTTGGAAATTTGTTTTTATCTTATATTTATTCTGCTTCAATGGAACTTTAATTCGTTCTCAAATATATCATTAATATATATTTTCTCATTGTTTTTGCTTTTCTATTCTTTGCTTGTTATTGAATATTTTGATTTTAATTATCTGACAATCAAAATTCGTTCAAATGGTATTCGTCACTAACATATTGTTTGCGATAGATCATATTGATGAAACATTTTTGTTTATATGTTGAAATATTCGATACATCAAAATGTTTTTAGTCTCGCATATTTTGCATATAAAAAATATACACCAGCTCCAATGCTTTGACTACCTGTAACTTTTATCATGTCAAATAAGTCTTGAAAAAAGCTCAATCTTATATCAATATCTATACAAAAATCAAAATTTTTCCTACATAAGATGTGTTGATTTCAATCGTTTTTCTCCAAAAATTAGCTTTTGGAAAGCAAAATTATTTTTCGTTTCAACTGAGAAGAAGAATGAATATTTTTCGAATCAGTTTTGATAGAAACTAGAGAGTTTCATACTTGAAAACAGGAGATTAAAGTGTATTTAATCATATATTAGCACTATGTGAGAATCACATGAGCTCTTTTCTAATACTCAACTATCGTAATATTCTGCTGTACAATTAACCTTTTTCGGCAGAATAAGAGATAGAAATAAGTATTTTTGTAAACGTTTTACATGTACAACTAAGAAAATGAAAAGATAAATAAAGTTGAATTGTCGTGGGTTTTTCTTAAATCTATTGCCATTTTATGTGGAAATGGCACAAATCGGACAAAAAAAAATCTTTGAGCACAATTCGTGCGAGATTAAAATGTGGAATATGATCGAATCATTTCAAATATCTAAAGAGAATACTTCTTATTTTTGTTACAATCCATCATAAGATTTAAGTAAGAAATTTCGAAAGAAGTAGCTTATTTTCATTTCGCTTGATTGAAACATGTTTCAGAAAAAAGCACATCATTTATCAAAAAAAACAATCACTAACAAATTTTCGCTTTCGCAATAAGTTTCTCTGAGTCAATAATGATTTTTTTGTTCGTCCAATATTTTACATTTTAAACAGAAAATAAGATTTTCATTTTACTCGATAGCAAAAGTCAATTCCTATCTGGAATTTGTCTTATTTTGTACCGTTGGACAGTTATCCATCGTGGGAAAAATGACAGCAGAAAAGTTTGTGCGCTATCATGCTGACTATTAAGAAAATGTGTCTACAATGAACAACCTTGACAATGTAACATCGATAAACATTGAGACAATTCTTATCAGCTAACACGAAGCATTTGCTAGAAATCTTTCGAAATTGATGTATAAAATTAAATAATGAATATACCATTAGTGATATCAAACAACAGTGTTGCAATATCAACTAAAATGCATGGGAAAGACTGATTACATTGAGATATTCGAAGATTTTCAAAACTAGTTCGTCGGTCAACAATTCTAAATTCGTTGTCTTTGTCTGTCATATGGTAAAATAATAAATCTTTGAATGTCGCTATTTCTTTGCTTTCTTTTCCTGAAGACATAAAAGTGAGGAAAATTTTCAATCAAAAACAAATGATAAATCAAATTATTAGTTAGCTCGATATATTTTTCATTGAAATAATAGAATTGAATTCATAATAAACATTCGTTTCTTCTAGTAATCTCTTTTTGACCCTCATATATAAACATCTTTTTTTTCTCTCACTTTGCTTGGATGATTGAATTATTTCGATATTTATTAGTTTTTTTTATCTAGCAAATGTTATTGCATTTGATTTGATTAATATCAAAACAATAAACAGAACAGATTGATTTTTTTTTATTCATTGAAGAAATAACTGAAATAAAGTCTTTTTTTTAAGAAGAATGGAGAAACTATTTGACTCTTCAATTTGTAATTTATGTTCATTGAATATCTTATTCAGATAGTCTAGACTTTTACTTTTCTAAGAACTCTTCATATGTCGATAGACCGTAAATTAAATCAACTAAAAGGAAAAGATTATCTTTAGTTCAGATAGGAAATTACTCGTCATTAGAGATTGGATCTTTATCTAGTAAATTCGAATAGAAATATCAATGAATATTTTAATTTGTGCTTGATCAGATAAGCCTTGGAAAGTCATTGAATCAACTTCGAAAAATAAAAGATTGATTAGGATTTTCTCGACAACTATCTGATGTTTCTGACTGCAAATAGAAAATAAAGAATCGTTGTATGTTTTTCATATTGAGAAACGTCTTGTAACCAAATGGTCTAATAATTAGGTAATCGCTGGAAGAAACGGAGAGGGAACTGATGTTAATCAACTCTATGGGATCTTGTCCTGATCGATTGGAAAAATCATCATGTGACGAAATGACCACTTGGTACCAGAGAAGTTCCAGCGTTTCTCTAAGATTTTTTTTTCTCTATTCATAATCATGACTGTTTATGTACTGCTCGTTTTCTTTGTTGACAAAAACATGGTTTTTGTACGTTATATTTTGTTTGTGTTCTGTCGTTGATGCAACCTACATTTTTATATTGGCAAGAAGAAAATCTAGTTTTTCTTTTATTTAGCGTCTGTTCTCTTTCGCCTTAAGAAAATACGAGAAAAAGCAAAAAGTGGGCATATATTTGTGCACGTATAAAAGAGAGCGAGTGGGATATATAAGTGTGTGTTTGCTTAGATAAATGATGATGACACAATCATTATCATACTTGTTGTCGACCAAAACACCTTTTTTTTGTTCAGGTCTTTTCTCTTATTTTTCGGATGTCATCGGCTAATTGAATAGTTTCGAATGTTGAAATTAAATATACTCAAATCTTTATCAACAATGAATGGCATAAAGCAACAAATGGAAAAACATTTTCTCTCATCAATCCAAGTACAGGAGAAGAAATCTGTCAAGTAGAAGAAGGCACTAGGGTACGAATCTCTATATGTTCTTCATTGGTTCATTATCTATTGTGATTTTTAGGCTAATGTTGATATAAAACAGTTGAAGCTATTCAAACAGCTTTTGATATTGAATCACCATGACATAAATTAGATTCTCTTTCTTTCTCTCAACACAAGTCAATATGTAGAAAGTGGAAACACTTAACAATGGTAAACTAGTAGAACAGACTAAAGGTGAAATATTTTTCTCAGTTGATTGTACTGAAACCAACTGAACAAACACCACTTAGTGCACTTTATTGTGCTGCTCTTATCAAAGAGGTAAGATATTATCATGTCGATTATACTTTGTTGTTGTCATGACGATCTAGACTGGCTTTCCACCAGATGTTGTCAACATCATACTAGGTAAAGTGAATGATATTTGTCATAATAATTTCATAAGAATATTTATGTGATGGGCCTGAATGTGGTTATGTGATTGCTGTTCACGCACATATTGATAAAGTAGCTTGTACTAATTCAGTTGAAGTAAAAACATTCACTAATAAAACTAAAAAAAATGAATGTGAAATGTTTGATTGAAGATTGGAAAGAAAATACAAGAATCATTAACTAAATCAAATCTTAAATGTGTTACATTTGAAGTTGGTCAGTAACAAATACAGGATAATTTTCATCTGAGCTATTCTCTTTTCACATATCGGTGGAAAATCTCCTTTGATCATCTAACGATGAGGATGAGTATTCTATAAAACTTTTAAATAATCAAATTGATTCTAATACTGAACAAGGATCACAAGTAATAACCTCTTTAATCTAAAGAAAAGTTCCCTTTACTTGTGTATGATAGATAAATGATATTCAATTCCAATAGATTTTGGATTTTATAGAATCAGATTACAAGTTTGGAGATAAATTAGAATGTGGTGGTGAACGAGTTGATAATAAAGATTATTTTATCAAAGCAACTATTTTTAGTGATGTAAAAGATGATATGCAAATTACTCGTGAAGAGGTATAACATTGTTTTTTTCTATTAGATTCTATAATAATGTAAAAGTTTAGATATTTGGTCCAGTAATGTCAGTCTTAAAGTATGATTCATATGAGGAAGTTACCAAACGAGCAAACGGCACGACTTTTGAACTTGGTGCTGGAGTGATAACTGGAGACAGTAAATTTGAAAGAAATGATTATTGATGATTATTCTAGTTTTTCAGTAAGATGTGGTCTTACGTTGGCTCATCAAATACGACCTGGCTCTATTTGGATAAATACTTATAAGGCTATATGTAATCAAGCACTATTTGGTGGCTTAAAACAATCAGGTCAGGAAAGAAAATTAGGTCGATATGGTCTCGAAGCATATTATCAAGTAAAAATAATTGTTGTTAAACTTGTTCGAGGAAAAACAATACAAATTTTTCATGAAGAACAGCTATTTGGATTTGCTTGTTTAACTTTCTAACATTTATGTAGTTTGCTCTCTAAACTCTTCCATGTATTGCGAAAGTCTCACTAATACGTACAACTAATTTAAATAAAATGTTTAAGTGCAAAGAATAGAATACTTCGAGCAATCAGTTGAAACAACTCCTAATTACGGTAATAACTCGTATGAATGATCATAATCTAGTTTCAATTTAAGATACATAATTAACAACATTTAAAATTTTATTGTTTAAAAGACTTTAAACAAAATACAATACAAAGAAACAAATTGATTATTGAAGAAGGAAAAGTATGATCGATTCTTTTTTGCTATCGTAAAACATTACTTATTGATGATATATATATATAGTGAATCTGAAGAAGTTTTTATATATAATAAATTTTTTGATTGCTCCTGTTCTCTATCATCTAAGTGACATCAGTTTTGAACAATAACAATAATATTCTTGTAAAAAATGTTAATTTGTTAACTGGAATCACATAAGTAGATATATGATATTGGTGAAGAGAATGCTTTAGCCTGTTATTTACAACGCTTTCGAAATCCAGCGTACAGTTATGAAAATTAGCTCTATTCGCTTGAAATCTTCGCTATTCTAAAAATTCCTTCTTTCCATCGCGGCAATTTCGTTCTGGAAATCTTCCTTCATATATTGAGTGTTTCACATTAAACGAACTGATAAGATCTTTAGTAATAGAGTCATATCAAAAGAATATGGTTTTGCATATACTAAAAACGACCTGATTTGCACCTGTTAGCAAAATAGTTCTATAGTGAAGTGCAATATCAAATATATATATATTACTAGAAAAATTGTTCTTCGCTTGTCGCAAAGTCCAATCGATAAGACAAGTTTTAAAAAATACCACATTGACACGAAGACTTGTTACAATACTCAGGTGTGCTACCTGATCAAATTTTTGTTTTCTCTTAACCAAATCGGTTTCGTAAGTTGAATCATTCATTAAGATTGAAGACATCATCTGCAACTGAAACAGCAATAAATATAAGTGGATAAAGGAACGAGCTAATATATGTCCATTCTTTCTTTTCTTCTTATGTGATAAATCAAGGTCAATCATGTAGACAAAGATGAATCCGTTCTCTATCATTAATCCAAGTACAGATGAAGAAATTTGTCAAGTAGAAGAAGGTACAAAAGTATCAATATATATATACATGATTATTTTCGTTCTACGTGTAATTTTTATTGTTTCCAATATGATTCACCATGACGTAAGTTAGATCCTGCTGCACGTGCTCAGTTAATTCATAAGCTTGCTGATTTACTTCTACGTGTTGTGGATTATTTAGCAGTAAAAATGTTCACTCTGTTTGTTTGCATCTACACCATAAATGAATATTCTGAGATTAGAAACATTGGGTAGTGAAAAACTGCTACAAGAGAGTTATTGCGAGATTCTTGGAGCAGCTGTTGGCCTTGATTATTGTAAGCCTTTCTGACATTCTCTTTTTTTTATTAACGATGATATTTACATGTTACAGACGCTGGATGGGCTGATAAAATCACTGATGAAACACTTCCATCAGAATCAGGTATTTTTATTACCTATATTAGACATGAATCAGTTGGGATCTATGGACAAATCATTTCATGGTCAGTTCAAACATTCAATAAATGAACATTCAAATTGTACTTCCTTCTTTCAGTGATTATTCAGTACGATATTCTATCTTACATATGCATCATACAAAAGTATTGTTGCCATTATATTTTAGACTGTTATGTTGGCCTTGCAATTTGGATCAGCATTAGTTTGTGGTAACTTCATTACTTCTATTAATTTACATTTTCTTATATATTGCAATAACAAATAGGCAATGTAGTTATTCTAAAACCAGCTGAACAAACACCACTTACTGCACTCTTTTGTGCTTCTGTCATCAAGGAAGTATTATTCATCATCTATCAACAATCAAAATTTATTCGAATACTAAATCAATATTCTAGGCTGGTTTTCCATCAGGTATTATTAACAGTGTATTAGGTAATACACATCACCAGAATGAAAACAACTCTTATAACGATATACATATGTAAGTCATGGACCTAAGTGTGGTCATTCATGAAAAGATTAATAAAATAGCTTTTACAGGTTCATTCTAGGCAAGATTAGTGCAGATGAAAAACAGAATAACAAAAGCACATGATATTTTGTTTTAGGTTGGAAGAAAGGTTCAAGAAACTGCAGGAAAAACTAATCTAAAGCATGTTTCACTGGAACTCAGTTATTAAAATCATCTTTCTTACCTGTCTGTTTTGTTGCCTTTTTCATCACATATAAGTAGTAAATCACCATTAATCATTTGTGAAGATACTGATCGTATGTATTAAATAATTCTACTACTTCCACTTTCATTATGCTTCCTAATGACGAAAAAGGTTTATAAACGATTGAATTAATTTGTTTTGCATGTTTTGGTCGATGTTCCTGTTCGAACTGCTCATAGAGCACTTTTCACTCACGCAGGTCAAGTATGTTTTGCTGCATCAAGAATATTTGCTCATTCCACACTTCACGATGCCTTTGTGTCTAAAAGTGTCGAATTAGCAAAAAAACGTATTGTTGGTGATCCATTTGATCTTACAACTGAACAAGGACCATAGGTATAGGAAAGCATTTCAAGTAAAGTGCCATAATCTAAACTATGGAAAAAACATATTGATTGAGGATTCAGAAAACAATTTGATAAGACGACAGATTAACATTGATTTCTTTTGTGTATTCTGCAAAACAGTCATACTCAATTAGAAACAATTCTTGAATGTATTCGATCGGATAAAAAAGTTGGTGATAAAGGTTATTTTATTCGACCTACTATTTTTACTAATGTAAAAGATGATATGAAAGTAGCTCGTGAAGAAGTTTATCTTTTTTTCTCTTTTCTTCATTTCATTGAAATCGTTTTCTTCTATTTTGAATATCTCTTGGTTTCAACTTATTTTCCCATTAGTCGATCCATCGGATATATTCAGCAACAGCATCGAAATTCTTATCTACATTGGAATCGGAATCATTGGTTGAATAATACTAATAGTTTAGGTTCGATGTAAGAAACTTAGATACAATACCATACTTCTCTAACTTCTGACGGTGCTTGACTGCAAACGTAGATCTCTCTACTAAGACATTGAACCTCATATGGTATCAAGTGGAACTTAAGACAAAAAATAGATCATGCAAATTGTACGCTACAGTCTATCCAAGTGATTACCTTTTTATTTCTTTTTCTAATTTACTTTATGAATATTAGCAGAGGGTCTACTAGAATACCAGACAACATGGCGGGAATAAAATTTTTGATTTTGGATTTAATTATTTTAAAATAAAGTTCACATATAGGTATTACTAAATCCGAAATATTAACTCGATCTGATAATGATTCATTGAATTATGATGTATATCATGGTAACAGGTCTTATACAGTTATAATGCAAAATGATAATTTTTATTTTTGGTACTTTTTAATACATTGTAAAACTGAAGCATTATTCCACGAATTGTTATAGTGTTGAGTTTTGTCAAAACGGAGAGTATCTCTTTTTCTGTCAACTTCACATAAGCATCATTTTATAGGAAAAAAGGGTCAATATGATAATTTTTTAATGAAAATATGTATGGTTTTTCCTACCATGTTTTTTCATGTTTTTTTTTGCGTTTTTTTAAAAGTATTTTGATCTTTGAATTAAAAAATGGAGTTCCTCAGGAATTTTATGGTATCAGAAGATAGCCCGTAAAAAACTCTATCTGCTATGTGAAAATACCTAAGAAAAATGATGGCTGGCTCAATTAACTTTTTTCAACAAAGTTCATCACGACGTATTTTTTATGCTGATTATAACGTGTTTTCATTGTTTCTTGGTGTTAATCATTTCTCATTCACGATTTAATCTATAAGTTCATTTAACAAGCATAAATACATCGAGTAGAATGTCAGGGCCATATTTCTAATGATACTCCTATATATATAAATGTGGTCGACTAAGTGAGCCTCACAGTGTGTAAATTCTAAATTTCGAGCTCACTTCACGCCAGTCCATTTTTATACTTAACAGCACATAGTAGGATAACATCAATTGCAGCCATAGGCTATGAGCGCATTATGTGACTGTAAGTTAGTTAATTAATTAGTACCCAACTAATTACGACTAATTAGAGAGAGTACTCAATTGATCAGTACTAATTAAGGCGACTAATAGTTAGGGTAAGTATAGTTTGCAGTATACATCTGTAAAGTTTTGAGGGCTATTAGGGTCATTGTTGAACGCGTTAGAAAATATTGAGTTCATGAGTAATGTAAGAAATGTGTACTTGAATTTTGCTTTAGCGAGTAAGAGTAAGCTTTTTTGTTTGCTGAAGATAATTGGGTCGCATGATAGAGTGTCTTCGATACACAAGTGGTATATGCGGTGGAGAAAATGTTTGAAAATTTGGGTAAGCCTTGAGCTCTTCTGTGGTTAAAGACCAATTGATCATTAGGTGTGCAACAGACCCGGCTCATGCGAACAAAGCTGGCTGACTAGTTCTAGCCTAGCGAACTGAGCTGAATCTATGATACACCTACTTACGGTTGCCGCTGCAGGATAGGGCTTTAGGATTTATGGATACTCCTATATAATAGTCCTTGAGTGCCTGCAGCACAGTCGGAAGTTTTCGCATAAGCAGGCGAACATACAATTTTTTTGCTCAGAAATAAACATATGTCATTCAGAGAATCGTCTTTGAGAAAACAGAAAGTTTTTAAGAAAAAAATTTACGACAAAATCTGGCTGGGGAGTACCTCAGCCATGATTTTCCGAAAAAAATTTGTTTTGAAAAATATGCTGAGCTACATATCACTCGAAGTAGTGTAATGTGTTCATTCCGAATATCACCATAGTTTTTCTTCAAAGAGTAATATCAGTGCCAAAAATCGGATATCCTACTGTAAAATAGCTTAGGAAGGATTTCATAAGTATGCGCCACTATCATAAGTAGGTTACATATGTAAGAACGTCTGGTAAAAATGCGCGCTCGATTCGACGTTTTCTCTTTGTAGTGCTTACAATATATGGAACGATATGTTTTCAGATAGGTTTTGGATCTCGAGATCCTTTGTCTTCTACTCTATTTTAAATTAAATTTGGATCACTTTTTTTTAAACATAAGGTCTACTCATGCGGAAGCTTTTTGTGATATTGTTTGCTTGTGCAATATTGTTTCATATTGCCTAGCAGCTTGATTTTCTTTATTTATGCTGATTTCTGGGGCGCAAGCCTTGGCGAGCTCTTTTCTTGGGCTTTATAAAACTTTGAGAACCACTATTTTAGGAAATGATAGATCACATATGCATGTATCTACGCAAATTGTTAGATTCTAGAAAAGAATATTTTCGCACATATCCGCCTGGCTCTCCACTGTAACAGCCATCAACGCTTGCTGATTCAGCGTTACTTCACCTATGTATTGACTTTGTGTTGTTCTACTTGTAAGTTGGATAAAACCCACTGATGACAGCTAACAAAGTGCTCCATTCTTCATTTTCTTATCAAATATTTATTATGCAAATGAAGACTGCTATTCAAGTATGTTGTGTGCAAAGTCATCGACTTTCCGCGAAAGAAGAATAAAAGCATGTGCGCCAACCAACTTTTTTCTCTCTTTCTGCGATTAATTCCTGCGACACAAACGACATACTGTATCATTGTTAAAAAACAAAACAGGGGTTCATGATGTCTTGTCGAGCCTGTTTGAATACATAATATATCCATTGTAGGCTTCTTAACTAATTGGTGATCAAAGAGCATAAAAATAAAACTTTTGGAAAAGTAATTTCTCAAACCTATGCGAATCTTTGAGAAGAGCTCGTAATGGTACAAGACTCTCAAGGAAAAGTCCCCAACTGATCCATGCCGTTTCTGTTGATATTTTGCCTATATGTAGGGTTCGAGGAGATTAGAAAAAACTTAAAAAAATAACAGCTCATAGGCTTTCCTTTTCAAGTTATGATCATTTTACTTAGTTTACTACCTAGGACAAGGGATTCAGCAAAAAATCAAATTGAGAAATTCCGATCTGAAATTTTGTCCACATGCAAGTCTTATGGCCTGTATATTAGCCTAAAAGTTCCAGTCAAAGCGAACGCCTCTTTCTCGAAATATTGCGTTATCAAGAAAACATTACCACGCTACATACATGTCAGGAAAATTGACTTCTATGGAAAAATCAATATTTCACGACAGAAGCATTTGTTTTGACTGCAACCTTAAGCCTAATATATAGGTCATAAGACTTGCATGTGTACGAAAGTTGATTTTTCACTGAATCCCTTGTCATATGTGATAGACCAAGTAAAATGAGGGTGTGGTTGTCGGTGGACGTGGGCGTGCTTGCCGAAGAGAAGACTCACACCCACACCCATACCCTCATCGCATAGTATACATATAGGCTGTTTATAACTAGCGAACTATTGTTTTTTACTATACGATGACATCATTATACATTCTTTTCTTTTTATCTTCGATCTAAACGAGATAGATCGAAAATAACTTGCAAATGTGAGTTCTGTCATTTTCGATAGTCTTTCTTGGCTGATATTGTCAATTACAAAACATTTTCGTTGCTGTTAAAATAAAAAAAGTTTTATATTTCAGTATTAAGTTGTTCATTTACTTATATATATTATATTTCAAAATAACTGTGACAGCATATGTGGACGCATTTCGATACTAAGTAAAGGATTATTTTCAATGTATCTCGAATAGATCGAAGATAAAAAGAAAAAGAATATATAATGATGTCATCGTATAGTAAAAATAAATAATAGTTCGCTAGTTATAAACAGCCTATATGTATACTAAACGAAGAACGAAAAACATTCAATGGTCGTGTTGTATGTATCACTATGTAACAGTGCCGACGTAATTGCACAATATCAGTTGGTTCCGTCCTAAAGATAGTCTATATAGAATTTACTTTTGCAGTTTTTCTGCAAAAGTAAATTCTGTCATTTTCGATAGCCTTTCTTAGCTGATATTGTCAGTTACAAAACATTTTCGCTGCTGTTAAAATAAAAAAGTCTTATATTTCAATAATAAGTCGTTCATTTACTTATAGATATTATATTTCATATTTGACGTCGTAGAATAATCTAGAAAAAAAACATCCAATATCGAATATATAAATAGAAAACAGTGGTCTCTATCCAAACAACAATTGATCATTCACAGTATTCAATCGTCGAGCAAACGTCAAGAACAACATCGAAAATGAGTAGACAACAACGACCACGAATGGCTGAAAATTATCTGGTCATCTGGGTCGATGGTACTATTGACATGGCAAATGAAGATTGTCAGAATACACTCGCGCAATTGCGCGGTGTTGTTAATGAAGTTAATCCATGCACCACGACCGAACAATGTATCCAGAAACTCCAGGAAAACAATGAGGAGACATCATTTGTCATCTCCTCAGGTGCATTAGGACAACACCTGGTACCAGAAATTCATGGCATGCCAAAACTGGATGCCATATATATCTTTTGTGGCAACAAGCAACGTCACCAAGAATGGGCTAAGAATTGGCCCAAAATTAAAGGTGTGCATACATCAATCAAGCACATCTGTGAAAAATTGGCACTGGCTGTCAAACAATGCAATCAAGATCAAGTAACAGTGAGTATTATCAGTGTCAATGAAGGAGGATCTAGCGAAAATCTCAATCAGCTAGAGCCTTCCTTCATGTACACTCAAATATTCAAGGAAATACTCCTTGATATGAAACATGGCCAAAAAGCCGTTAAAGACTTGGTCACATATTGCCAAGAACAATACGAAGGCAATACCAAAGAAGTCAAATTAATCAATGAATTTCAACGTAATTATCATCCAACATTGGCGTTATGGTGGTATACACGCCAATGCTTCACATACAAAATGCTCAATCGAGCATTAAGAACATTAGATGGCGACATTATCATCCAAATGGGATTTTTCATGTGTGATGTTCATCGACAAATTGAAGAATTACACAGCCAACAGGTCAGTCAATATCATGGAAAGTCCTTTCTAGTTTATAGGGGTCAAGGATTATCGACAAGTGACTTCGAAAAACTTGCAAAAAACAAAGGTGGTCTCATATCGTTCAACAACTTTTTATCCACCAGTACAAAACGAGATGTTTCCCTCGGTTTCGCCAAAGATGCATTAGGAACAACTGATATGGTCGGCATCCTCTTTCAAATGACAATAGATCCTACTCTCTCATCGACTCCTTTCGCCTCCATCCAGGAGGTGAGTTATTACAAGGACGAAGAGGAAATTCTCTTCTCCATGCACACCGTTTTTCGAATTGATGAAGTTCGAAAACTGGACAAGAAAAGTCCACTTTATCAAGTGGACCTCAAACTTACGTCTGATGATGACCAGCAACTCCATCAATTAACTGATCGTATACGAGAAGAATCTTCAGGTAGCACTGGATGGTATCGACTGGGTAAATTGCTACTCACAATTGGTCAATTTGACAAGGCTGAAGAATTATATACAGCACTACTAGAACAGGCATCCGACGACAGTGATAAAGCATCTATCTATAACCAGCTTGCATGGGTGAAACGGGACCGAGGAGAATACACAGAGGCAGCGTCATTTCTCGAAAAATCCCTCAAAATCTATCGGAAAAGTGTCCCGGAAGATCATTCTTCATTGGCTCCTACATACGGCAACATCGGCCAAGTGTATAACATCATGGGTAACTACTCGAAAGCACTTGAATTTTACGAAAAATCACTTCAAATAAAAGAAAAAGCTCTGCCTCCGAATCATCCCGATTTGGCTATTTCCTACGGCAACATCGGTCAAGTGTATAACAGAATGGGTGATTACTCGAAAGCACTTGAATTTTACGAAAAAGCACATCAAATCTTCGAAAAAGCTCTGCCTTCGAATCATTCCCATTTGGCTACTTCCTACAACAACATCGGTCTAGTGTATAACAACATGGGTGACTACTCGAAAGCACTTGAATTTTACGAAAAAGCACATCAAATAAAAGAAAAAGCTCTGCCTCCGAATCATCCAGATTTGGCTAGTTCCTATAACAACATCGGTCAAGTGTATAAGAACATGGGTGACTACTCGAAAGCACTTGAATTTTACGAAAAATCACTTAAAATAAGAGAAAAAGCTCTGCCTTCGAATCATCCCAATTTGGCTACTTCCTACAACAACATCGGTCAAGTGTATAACAACATGGGTGACTACTCGAAAGCACTTGAATTTTACGAAAAATCACATAAAATTTACGAAAAAGCTCTGCCTCCGAATCATCCCTCACTGGCTATTTCAAAGCATGATATTGGCCTTACATATGAAAACATGAGAGAATACTCGAAGGCCAGTCAGTTTTATCAACGTGCTGTTGATATCGCACAAATTTCATTACCCTCAAATCATCCACACTTACAATTGTATAGAAAGCGCCTTCAGGACGTAAAAAAGAAAATGTAACTGTAATTTTTTCTTTTCGCTTGCTCAATAAATTTATTCAAATTGCTAATCATTTCGATTTTTCTCAGCTCATTTTGGCTTACCCGCGCGCGCGCGCGACAAGGGAGAGATCCCTTGTTAATGTCATAGGTACCACAGGTGGACCACGCCGGACTGGTAGGGCAATGGCCAAAGGTATACCGTATTAACGATAGGGACCAACGACACATAGAGGCCTTCCCTAGCACTACACTGCTTCGCTATGGCACGAAAGTTCCTGTCCCTATTGAATCAGACAACGTAGTTCTCTGACCCACACTAATAACTCAACTCATCTCATCTCAAATGTACTCATACTCATACTCATAATAACTGATAGGATTTACTTTTTCTCAAAATAACTTATCTCAACTGAACTCAACTGAATATGTAAAAAAATTTTTTTTCTTACTTCTCAATATCGTATAGTATCGAAACTCTTCTAAAAAAAAAGAAAAAAAAAGTTTTATTGAATATATAATGAATTTATTATTTACCTCATATAGAATTTAATAATATCATTATCATTGTAAATAATATAATAGTAATAATAAATAATAATCCCGGGTATATAAATACATTATAATGCATTATAATAATACAACTCGAGTGTATACTGTTTCATAATGATGTATACATGTTTTTATATACACTGAGATTAATTGACCGATGTTCAAAATTTTGATTGATTTTTTATCAATCATTCTACTTCTGTTTTAATTGATTTGATGATTTTTTTTTCTTGTCTGACATACATCTATATCATGTCATCGTCGACGAAAAAAAATTTTCATGTTACATATATATAGAGGGTGTTGTCTTTCTCCTTCACATTGCTCGTCTTCAAATAAGAATACAAGACAAGAGAATTTATCAACTCGAGTAACTTAAAAAATAGGTGTGTTTTATTTTTACAAAATGTGATCTTTATTTTAAGAATCTCTGAAATATATACATGTCTAAATTATATAGAATAAGATAGCGTTTGTCTCTCTGCTGAACAATATATTTTTTATTGGACATCTTCATTATCTTCAATATATATGTATTTGAGAAATTTTTGCGTAAACTTTTTTCATGTATAGTTTTTCGACTTTTCTTTAAAGAAATGTTAGTTGTGCAAAAATTGAAATTTCTACACATTTAAGATTGATGAATTTCTTTCATTTCAAATTATTTTCATTGGAATATAGTGCTTCTCAGGATTTACCTAATTTTCGTCCAAAATGTATCAACTTGTACATAACAAACTATGAATGATGTGTATTCACTTATATTGTCATATTCATCGATATATAGTAATGAATATATAAACAGCTATTAATTCATCTCAAAATAGTCTCCTGGTGATAGAGTATATCATATTTGTACTCTTTAAATTTTCAAGATTTATCGATGGAAACAAAAATCATCATTATAAACATTTTGAACAAACAACTGTAATGTAAAAGTAATATTACTTCTAGATTTTTATACGAAACTATATATCAGACAAAGTTTCAGTATAGAGAGGCATTTTTCGTTTAGATTTAATGAACGTTATTGCCTTTATATGTTCCACTTTCTTAATTGAATTATTAATGAGTATTTTGACATTGTTGAATGAAAGTGGTAACTGTTTTTAGTTACCTGACAAAGTACTCTCTATGAAGTAATGCCATTTAATTAGAATGAAATGAAGTATTTTCTAAGAGAGACAATAATGATAGCAGTAGAGCATTTAATGAATGTCTTCATGTATTTCTCATTATATTTCTCTTGTATAAAAATGATTCGACATATACAATAATTTCATTTTGCTTTCAGTGTAGATATTTAAGTTTCTATAAAAAATTCGATGTTGGTTTTTTATTAGAAAATGATTAAACTATAGTTGCTTGAGAAATTATATATTTTGTTTTTATTCAGATCTCCCATCATACAGGTGTTGGTGTATTCTGTATTTCGATTATAGGTGTAGAGTGAGGCGTTACACTAAAAAAAAAAAGAAAACATGCTGAATAACTTATTGGAATATTTTCTCGTTAAGGATAAATTCATATTCTGACGAATATTCGTTTTTTATGATTTTCTAAAGATAATTGATATTTTTATCGAGTATTTGTGAGATACAGAGTTTTATTGTGAGTTCATTGAAAAATATCTCAGGATTTTCATAAATAAAATTATGTATAGATTAATTATTTGAGTCTATAAAAGAAATCTCATTAGTAATAATAAATAAATTAATGAATCACATTTTTTTTTCTCATTAGATATATATACATAGTTTTTTGTTATGCTTGAAAGTGTAAGTGAATCTATGAGACATAGAACAGATTTAAAGAAAATTGCAAACCTCTTTCGAGTAAATGATATCGTCCTTATAATTTTTATGAGAAATTTCTACTAATAAAAAGGCTTTTAATAAAAGATTTTTTGTAAAGTTAAACAACGAGTCTTTTGGTAAAATCCACAAATAGACGAATACTGTATCAGTATTTCAGTGAATGTTGTTTTAATATTAACCTCTTTATATATCTTGTTGAGTCTGACACTACACTGTTATTCTTCAACATGAATATAGACAATTTATTAGTAACAAAAATATCAGTTTGAATAAAAGATTCTAGTTTTTTTGCTTTTTACTTATGAAATAGGAACAATGTTTGACCTTTTTACTGTTAGAAAAGAATAATTGAGAAAGTTCGTTTACAGGAAAAAATACATTTCGATTAGAGATTTGAAACTTGTAATTTTTGTATAATTATGACCTGATAAATACTGTTGAAAGTTGTGTGTGTACATTTTTTTTAGAATGAACCGAATGAATCATTTATTGCTTTTGCTCGAAAGCAATCTTTTTACTTTTCTTCTTTATCTATATTTTATTTTATTTAATATTTAATTGTAATACAGAAGATAATAGAGGGGTGTGAATCTGATGAGCTCTTCTTGTTAGCTCATACCTAAATGCTTTAAGGATTTAGTAGATGCGTTCATTGAATATTAAAAGATTTATCTCATTGAATTAGTTTTTTTTATTAGAATTTTTTTTCTTTTACTTTTCTACTAATATTTTTGTTTATCAATGAGAATTTTGATAAAAGTTAATAGACGAATCAATTGGATACATTAAATTTGTATCAATTAATATTATACGGTTTTTACCATTTATATAAGCCGAATCAATAGTAAAAAAAATAGAATGGATGATTACGAAGATGATATAAAAATTCAATTATGTATTATAGAAAGCTTTTACGGAGGAATAATTTTAATTTAGACATATATATGTACTGATCTGTCATAAACTTCTCTTTTTGTATAGCTTATATTGTATACATTTTTCTCTGACGAAAATCACACAGCTCATTTAATAATAAAATTCAATACTGTTATTTTTGTTTTTTTTCTACTGTATAACAATCATATTTTGATTTATGTAATCTAACATATGAACACAAATGATGTTGTTGAACATTGAAATCAAGTTCAACATGCTCTTGAAATAAGTGTTTACGGAGATTATTGATATTGAAGTGAGGAACGTATTTATACGTTCAATCTCATTCACTCATTATTCCTAAAAACACTCAACATTTTTTCATGGATCACATATTAATGTCATAAGTGTAGAGTTTTTGTGATATAAGTGCTAGAACAATGCATCAAAGGTATGAGATTTCTTCGAAACACTTCGAAAAAGACAAATTTCCAAATGATAAATCAATTACGAAAATAGCTAAGAATTCATTCGAAAGGCTTTTGTTCCATAAAAGTCAAAAATAAATATATTGATAACTATTCTTATATGACATTGAAAATAATTCATCATTTTACATCATTGAAAAAACCGTAGCTTCCTAATTGCGGCCAAAAATTAAGCCAATTAACACATAAG